GGTCGCTGGCAGACTGGCGTAGGTTGAACGTGTCTCGAGATGCATTAGTCGGATTTCGTTTGTTTGTATTCACGGTGCCTCCTCTCGCTCCCATCGGCCAAAGATATGAAGCGTTGGGCCGATTGGTACACCCCATTGTAGCAAATGCTACAAATACATCTCAGGACGAGTGTTATCATCTGCACCTCGACTATGTATCATTGCAAGGCCGTAGTGGCAGCTTTCCGTGAAGAAAATAACGTTATGGGAGGGCACGGTGGATATATTGGATATAAAACATCGGTCTCGGAAGATGAAGAAAAAACGAATGTCATATGAAACATGTACGTCATATGAACATAGATGGCAATTGTGGCTATAAAACGCTATGCTTCCTGCCCATGGTAGACACTTTGGGGCCGTCCATAAATGACGTCACGCACATAGGGGGGGGGGGTTAGACATTTGTGACGATATGTGACGAGGGTGGGGGGGTTGAGAAATGTGACGTCACATCAAAATGCGCAACTTTAAATAAATATAGACAACACGTTCTACTTAATGAACTAGACTTTTTAATACATGTTTTCGCCTACAACATCAGAGTGCAGCGGTACATTAATTACGCACTACAATGACAATAGTTTAAAGCGATTTGAAGCATGTTTTATTTGGGGGGGGGGGCACAGCTTTGTGACGTCATATTTGAGGGGGGGGGTCTGACTTTTTGTGACGCCGTGTGTCGATGGGGAGGGGGGGTCAAAAATCATCCAAAATCGCGTGACGTCATTTATGGACGCCCCCTTTGGATACGAGTTTCATTTGCCACCCTCGTTGGTTTCAAGTTTCAAGTTCATTTATTAGGTATAGCCCTGTGAGCCATTCGGCTCTTGAATCGGGTGAAACCGCAACAAACAAAAAACAAAAACATGAACAAAAAAACATCTTAAAGTAAATATGTGACTGAGTGCAAACAGAAAATCCAAGAAAAGACAGCAAAATATTGCAGAAAAAAACCACCGTACACCAACGCTGTGTGCAAAAATCCCAGTGGGATGCAAGTCAACTAACCAACAACAACCACAAGACAACTTAGATTAAGGCCATCAGTCTAACTCTGTACTACAACATACCGACCCAACCCGCTTGGCCCTGCATGGGGCTGCACTACCGTCCTGGAAAGTGGTCGCGTGGCTCGCAGAGCCTCCATGTCCCCGCGTCGCATCGCGATGCGGGACGTGCCGCTCGCTTGGGGCTCTCTGCGTGCAAGATGCCGGCGGTTCGGAGGCCCACGAGCGAACGAGCGAGCGAGCTGTACTTTGCTTTGACTCGCCACCGAGTTACGCTCGGCTGCGCCGTCGCTTGCCCCGTCCAAAGTAGCAATGGGGCGCCCGGGCCAGGAATGCATTCGTTGCTAAGAAGGGGAGAAGGGGAGGAGGGGGAGAGGGGATGGTGGCCGGCGCTGGGTGAGGCTGGCGACGGCAGTGGCAGCGAGGGGAGAAGAACGCGGCCGAAATGGACGAACACCAGCAGAGAGATGGAACCACGACACCAGCTCCTGTGCGGGGGCGAGGTGGATTGCGGCGTTCAGCATGGATGGTGATGGCGCGTGGGGGGGGGGGGGGCTTTATCCGGGAGTGGATAGACAATTGATAATAATGATGACTTCATTTAGCAGTGGATAGACAATGAATGATGAAGATTATGCACAACCTCCATATCACCCTATTAGTCTATATGGCAAATACGTGTGAATTAATTTGATAATCTAAAAAAGTATGATGTTAAAATTATATTACTGCTTTTTTTTTTTACAAATCTTGTCTCTATGCACGAACTACCATTGCGTATGCAGATCTCGCTTTTAACCCAACATCTAAATAAGACAATTCCCATTTATATCCTGTAAACACGTAAAAGCAGACCAGGCGAGGAAGGCATATGCAACCGCAAATACACAGTCGTAGATTTTTATATGCGCGCAAATAGATTTCATAAGGCGTCGCATACGTGACCCACGCTGCACTGAACATACATATTTATTCTCACAGGTATTACCGTATTCTCCTGATTAAAACACCCATTTGTTCATGTATTCTAAGACGTAGTTGTGAGTGACTTGTAATCTGATAGGTGTGTGTTTGTGCGACACCATGCAAATGTTTTAGGTTTGCGTCTTATTTTCCAGAGCATGTTATAATCTGTAAAATACAGCAATCCGGTTTCACTCCTTTGAGTTGGAAATTCACACTTGGCGCGCATTGCAAAACCCCTGTAGGACATCCTATGAGTTATCTGGCACGCACCTGCCTGTAGGTGTTAGCTCTGCCTTCAATTAACTCACGCGTGCTGAAAACACAATAACATCAGATCTACTGCTTGAATTTGCAGGCAGTTCTCCATGAAAATAGAATCTCACCCGATGCTTACCCGGTGTTCGGGGTGGGTAGGGAGGGAAATATATATTCGGGACTGAGCCCCCGACACCTCGGGCTGGAAATAAGCCACGAGTAAAAGCTAACATTTCAACTCACTCCCGCATGCATGGGAGGTCAGTAGCCGAATGGGCTAATTGAACCAAGGAAATTTGTATGAAATCAGGTCTTACAGAACGCTCTCGAGAATGTGCTTTGGGTTTGTGGCAAATCATACATGTCGTGGTGGCAAATGATGATTCATCCTGGAAAGGAAAACATCAGAAATATACGCAGCTTCGAGTGAATTTATGTTAAAGCACATAAACATACTGTGAATAATTTTTTTCTAATTAACTGTGAACGATACGAAAATAAAAAAAACCCTTTTAATGCCAGATTTTAAAAAGCATATTAATTCAGTTTTGGGTGCAAATTACTATAATTTGGGTAGGATGAATGTCTGGTTGCACAGATTTCTAGGCCAGCTGGTCTCATGCGAGGTCGCCTTTGGTGTAGGCAACTGTCACCAGTGTCGCAGGCGCTCCTCCAGAATGCGTCATTTGTTATACTTATAAGGTCTCGTTCAATTTTCTTTCAAATAGGATCGTGAGCAATGCATGTGAGTAGGTCCTTACAAAAAAACTTTTTTTTGTACAAATCATTCTTACGTTATTAAATGAGCACACAAAAGGATGCGTGTGAAGAGGTCTCCCTTTAAAAATGGGGAAATGAATTTCAATTCCCCCCCCCCCTCTCTTAGTTAAATAAAGGAAATCGAATCGATTCCACGACGAAGTGACCTCTGTTCTTTTTGTATTCCACTATTAACCCATTCCTTCTCTCAAAAATTGTCTGGAAGACCCCCACGTAGGGTAAGCAGAAGCAATTTCAGCCCTCCCCCCACCACCCGCCGGGGGTGAAAGAAAAAAGAGGGCCCTAATGGGCCCCAGGGTTTATGATGAGTGGAGCTTGTAGGAGCGGAGGGAGGGTGGCTTTGGGAGGGGAAAGGATGACGCATTTGCTCACAAGAACCCCTTCGGTAACTGTGGTTTCAAGGGTACCTTGAGTCGACCCTGAGCACAATGTGATGCGATTCAGATGCGATTCATTCAGCGACGCAACATAAAACCAGGGCCACACTTTACGTAAGATTCTGGGGAATGCAGCTTAAAATCAGGCTATAAATATACATGATATATTGTGTTATTAACAAACACTGCCTCACAGACAGCAGTGTAGCGTGCATGACATGGGTCCAATCTCCCCCCAGCATCTGAACCCCTCTGATCGTAAGGGCCTAAGTACAATTGCATCGCCTTACACAATTGATAGCCATACCACTGCTCAGGCACATGTTTAATCGCGTAGGAGAATGTACAATTTAAAAAAATACAATTCCTGCAGAGAGGATAAACGTCTCGTGAAACGTTTGTTGAAAATGATGATAATGCTGCTGCTCTAAATGTCCAAATGATGGGCCACTTTGTTGAGCTATCATGCGTGGCCAGGTTGCTTCTGAAAAATAAGTTGAAAAATAAGTTAATACCTGGTAGTATGGGGATGGTTTAGTTTTATTTGGATGCGTTTGGGTGATTTGTTTACATTTCTTGTACTTGGCACTACTATCATATTATTGTATTGTTTGTGGTTGTAATGTTCTTAATCGCCCCTCCTGGACATCTGTGAAAGAGAGCTTTAGAGCTCATCACTGGTGTTGACCGCTACGCAACATAGCCGACATGGCGTGGGAAGTTCTTCATTCAGCAGTGATTGGACAAATGACTGTGAATTATTGTGAAATGGTTACTGTCAATAATATTAATTTCATTTACCCAGTGATTCTGATTTTACTTTGACCATACCTCACCGCATCACTCACTGCGGGCTGTGAAGGGAACATAGACGTTGGAAGAAGCACAGAAGAAGAGTACACCTTATTTTTCGCACTGCCCTCTGCTGCTCGCAATGTAGCCTCGCAACATGCATGGTGGTCGACTCATCTAAGCACTATCCAGGCTCAAGCCTGCTTTAGCTTCCAACATCTCACGAGATCGAACGCATCCCGTGCGATTCAATGTGGCCAGTGCGGCACGGTGAAATATATTCGTTAATGGCCCATGCGAGGCCATGAACTATGAACTCCAGTATACCGGCCCGCCGTTTAATTATTTTCGCTTGTGGCCAGTGTCGGATTATCCGAGTAGCAGCAAAAGTACATTAGCTACATTTGCAACGGGCCCCACACTTTCAAATGCCCCCCGCTAAATGCTTTCAAGCTATCAATTCCCGTTCGGTGATTCTGCACTTGCTCTTTTACTATAGTACTATACTGCCTTCAACTTTTATGAATGACTGGGTGTTTAAGGTTAGCGATTTGTCTTATTATATGGCTGTATAGCAAATGAAAAATACAATTACTTTACTATGCGAGTAAAACATTTGTGTTTTAATATTTTATATATTTAGGGACTCTATAACAGATGCTACAGGCCCTGAACTAGCTTAATCCGTCATTGTTTGTGGCTCACTTTCTCGACTCGCTTGCCAGCTGTCACTCTATCTTGCTCCTCCCAACAGAAACACCACACTCGACCCTGCGCCCCCTAACGGCCACTCCGATCCATCCTTCTCCCGCCCGCCCGTCCGTCATGCCTCCACCACCTCTGCGCTTCGCCGCCAACGTGGGCTGGCTCTTCACGGAGGGGGAGGCCGACATCTGGGCTCGGTGCGAGGCGGCCAAGGCGGCTGGCTTCGATGCCGTGGAGATTCCCGACCCTTACGGCTACTGGGGGCGAGCAGGCGGCCCAGAGGAGACACCCCGACCGCCGCTGCCTGCCCTGCCCGTAGCGCTCATCAACAGCCCGCGAGGTGCGGAATTTGTGGCTCGGGACGACGGGAAGTTGATGATGGTCGACCGATGCAAATACGAAATCCCGCATCCACGCGCCTGTGGTTTTTTTTTATCTGAGCCGTGGTTCGGATGGTGGTGGAAGGTTGGAAAGTTGATGTCGAGGCTGTTGTTTCAAGCCACGGTTTGCCACATTGCGTAAAGCTTTTTGAGGAAGCGTTGTGGGTGATGGTTAATGACCCCAGGGCGCTTATAGAGGAGGCGTGGTGGATGATGGTTAATGCCCCCAGGGCGCTTTTAGAGGAGGCATGGTGGGTGATGGTTAATGCCCCCAGGGCGCTTTTAGAGTTGGCGTGGTGAGTGATGGTTGATGCCCTCAGGGCGCTTTTAGATGAGGCGTGGTGGGTGATGGTTAATGCCCCCAGGGCGCTTTTAGAGGAGGCGTGGTGGGTGATGGTTAATGCCTCGAGGGCGCTTTTAGAGGAGGCGTGGTGGGTGATGGTTAATGCCTCGAGGGCGCTTTTAGAGAAGTCGTGGTGGGTGATGGTTAATGCCCCCAGGGCGCTTTTAGAGGAGGCGTGGTGGGTGATGGTTAATGCCCCCAGGGCGTTTTTAGAGAAGTCGTGGTGGGTGATGGTTAATGCCCCCAGGGCGTTTTTAGAGAAGTCGTGGTGGGTGATGGTTAATGCCCCCAGGGCGCTTTTAGAGAAGTCGTGGTGGGTGATGGTTAATGCCCCCAGGGCGTTTTTAGAGGAGGCGTGGTTGGTGATAGTTAATGCCCCCAGGGCGCTTTTAGAGGAGGCTTGGTGGGTGATGGTTAATGCCCCCAGGGCGCTTTTAGAGGAGGCGTGGTGGGTGATGGTTAATGCCTCGAGGGCGCTTTTAGAGGAGGCGTGGTGGGTGATGGTTAATGCCTCGAGGGCGCTTTTAGAGGAGGCGTGGTAGGTGATGGTGAATGCTCCCAGGGCGCTTTTAGAGGAGGCGTGGTGTTTAATGGTAATGCCCCCAGGGCGCTTTGACGCGCAGAGGTGAGCACGGGAGTTACCAAGTTGCTTGGACGCATCGCCCCCTGCTGGGGGTTGAGAGTTAAGATTGGCCAATTCGTGGGGGTGGGGGGCATACAAAGTGAATTACAATACTCTATTGCAGGGATGTCTGATTTGTTAAGTAATTACAGTGCTGATTATCAGTTCGATTACTTGATGAATCAGATAACACGAATGTAATAAATTAGGGGGAACACGTCTCCACCTACGTGTGTGCTATTCGATGGAAAGTGACGGTAATGTCATCGGCATCATCAGGCATGCCATGCTGGGCGTGGCTTGTAGGGGGTTTCCCGCCTTCAGGAGATAGGATGCCGCCATTTTTGAAGGGGCCAGAGAAAACGGCCAGAAAAAAAACGAAGTCTACTCTGACGGTCGATTAATTGACTCGATTCACTCGTTCATAATCCCAGGTCTAAATTGAACATTTTGGAGAAGGTGAATGGTGTTTGACGCCTCGACAGGTGGAACGCCACTCTTACCTCTGACACCTGAACTTAACACCCTGGGTGTGTGCAGGGGACGTGGCGGCGGGCGAGATGGGTCTGGGAGCCCTCCCGGGCCGTGAGGCAGACTTCTTGGACTCCCTCCAGACCGCGATCGCTCACGCCAAAGCTCTGAAGTGCGACAGGTGCTGGGCCCAATGACCCCGAAAGCTCTGCCGCATAGTCGCTCCATTCACTCCGCAAAGCCTTAGAGCCACAATGCTGTGCGTCGTCACTGCCCAATAAATGATTATTTCTTAGTATCCGTCGCTAGGAAACACCCAGGAGCCCTTTCACTAGTCACAGGTTCTGCAAGTGTTCTGAGCCCCGTGTAGATTGGTTTCCGCCTGTCAAGCCTGGCAACAATTCGCACACTTGAGTTGACACAAGCATCCCAATGGGTTGCACGCAAATCAATGAGCCCAATTTTCGTGTGCGTGTATGTGGTTCTCAAACTGTGAACACGGTGACCCGAGTTCCTCTGCTTTGCCCGGGAGCCTCTTCGAGAACACGGAACGGACGATCGCGAAGGCGCTCTCCCGGCACGCGGAAACTAAACGTCCGATGCCTTTAACCCCACACGACACGCGCCTTGCGTGCGGCGTGCATCCTCCGCAGGGTCCACCTGTTGTCGGGCCGTCTGCCGCCCGGAGTGACTCGCGAGGCCCAGGGCCCTGCCATGGAGGCGACGCTCGTGCGCAACCTTCTCACAGCCTCTGACCTGCTCGCAGTGGTGTGTGCCCCTTCCCGAACGATCATTTACACACCACGTTTACGAAAGCGCTGCGCGACTGTGGGCAATCCGCGCGACCATTCGCAGCTCCATCCCCGTGTATATTCCCTCTCGGGCTACACATTTGAAGCAGTGCGTCTGCACAATTGTGACAGCCGTTTTGTCAGTCCACTACTAGATGAGGGTCTTCACATACCGTGCGAGTAGTGGGGCATTTTGACTACCCTTCACCCAGATGCTCGGTGAGGGTTTGTAAAGGCAGGGAGCATAGATGTGGGAGAATATGAAGTACAACAATAGATTTTGCAGCACTGTCCTCTTCCGTCCCCACCTTGACCCCGCAGCCCTATGACAACCTGTTTGTGCATGGCGGTCAACCATACAAGCACTATCCAGGCTCACTTACTATATGCCTAGCCGCAGTTGGAAAATAGTTATATCGCTCAATAGGCTTTACTCAGGAATTCGACTTTTGAATGTGTGAAATATCTGATGGGCACATTCCCTCTGATGTTGTCAGAGGCTCTTTGTATACCTTTCAGTAATGTTGTAGCTGCTCGTCTTGCGACACTCGTATCTTGCATGTGTTTTTTGCATGGCATTGCATAAATCTCCATCACAATAACGTTACTGCACGTTTTTCTCCCGATACATTGGTTGGTGTGTGTGTGTGTGTGTTTTGGTGTGCGTTGTTCCCGCCTGTACTGAATGGCCAGGAAGGAATGACTGGACTCATTGAGCCAATCAACAGCAGGCTCACCGACCCTCGCTACTTCCTGGACACGCCTGGTCAGGGTGAGGGCCGACTGTGCTCACAGCAGAGTGGCTGTGTTGTAGAGTGGGCATGCATGCCTTGTATGGAGATTACATATTTAGCCGTACGTGGAACAGCCCATTTTATCAATCCACTGCTGGATGAGGGCCTTGTGGGTCGTGGGGGTTATTTGACCATATTGATCCATGCGAGTGGTGAATGCGGGGAGCGTAGTTCAGCAGCAAAATGGGTTTTTGTGAACTGACACTGCTCTCTACTGCACATAGCCTATGAGCAGCCTATAACACCTGACTTATGCATGGTGGGCCCGCATCAAAGTACAATCCAGGCTCAAGCCTGTTAAGCATCCAAGATTTGCTGAGATCCGACAAATTCTCTGCAATTTGGTCACAGATATTGAATGTGTAGTACACAAAAATAACGCAATCGTAAGACACTGTGAAGCTATATTATACGGTATACAGTTGCTTAATGCATGATCAAATAAATGTTGTTCCTCAATTCGGTCTGCAGAGCCAAAGTGGGGGGGATGAAGGAGGAGATGAAAGAAAGGGAAGTGTGGGGGATATGGTATCCAATACCCGACGCTAAATCATCAATACTACAATAATAAGATAGGGTGGTATTCATTTCAAGTGTCAAATACAAATCATGTGGCCGGGGGGCTCATACACTCTAAATCTTTCTCCACATTGTGGTATTTTCCTAGCCGCGCGCATCCTGGAAAAAGTCGATAAACCCAACATCAAGCTTCAGCTGGTGCGTGTACGGTTTGTGTGTGTGGCTTTACGACACACCGCATATGCACACCATTGCCAACAAAATACCCTCATTATAGGGCTGTGACGATTCATGCCTCTCTCAATGCAATGGATTGTCATGATTCACAGAGTACAAAGAATGTATTATTTTTATTGATAGAATGAATGTCGTGGCCACGAGTAGCAGCAAGGGTGATGTGAACCTATTACGAGGTATTCTATATGAAACCAAAATAATCGATTCCTCCACATGCAATTTAACGAATGTCTTGATAACTTAATATTTTAACATTAATATTAAATATGAATTGATGCATCGTCACAGCCATAATAATCATGTCCATCTCATACACATAATACTGTTCTTGTATTCAGTGTGTGGTATAAGCCCTTGTTTGTTGGGAATCTGTTTGCATTGATTTTTCTAAAAAGAAAACATATGAAACATTTCATAACATTATACTTCTGTGCCTCTTATGTGTTCACTGCCGAAAGAAACTTGTAATGCCTTAAAACATGATGGGGCGGGCAGGGCCGGATTAACATTCTTGTAGGCCTTCAGCACTTCTATTTCGTAGGCCTTCAGTGATAATTCAAGATTTGAAGCTTTCGTGACTGCAAGGATTCATATTCTTAGGTGTTTTCGGTAAAGTCACGTAGGTAAAACATTAAAATTAATAAAAGTAAAATAAAAAAATTATAATAAAAAAAAATAAAAATAATAACTTCCTACAGGATGGTACTGCTGCTCATCTTACTACTACTACCACCGCTGTCACTTCGCTCGGTGCATGCCTACTTTTGTTGGTACTTTCTACGATTGGTAGGGCCGGATTAAGGTTCTTGTAGGCCCTAGGCACTTCTGTTTCATAGGCCTTCAGTGATCATTTTCTACAATGGGTACTGATGCTGGCCCATGTTACTATCGCTGCTGTCACTTTGCTTGTTTCACGCGTAGGACAAGAACGCTGCCTTGTCTCCCCTTGCGCTAATACTCTGTGTTGTGAATGATATTGTACGAAAGCCACCATTTGAGGATGTTATTTGCTAATTTTGCAATGAAAAAAAATCTCTAAAATTTCATCTCCGGTGTTAATTTCTCTCACCTTATGAGAAAAAAAAACTATTGGCATTGACATGACTCTTTCTCATTGTAAATACACCGTGCCTATTCTTGCCATATAAATATGTTTATTCCAGAAGATATCTTGCTTACATTTTTTATCATCCAAACAAAAAACAGGCTCAGAATAATTTTTTTTCGTAAGCCCTGGATAATACGGACCTTGGGGGCGGGCATTGTTGAGGTGTCGCTGCCGGCAACATTGTACAAAATGCACAAGCTGGTAACTAGCGCATCTTTCAACCACAGTGACAGACATGAAGGCTTAACTTGTCTGAGCCGTTGGCCTCTTTCTCTGCAGGACATCTTCCACTGCCAAGTCATGGACGGAAATCTCACGGGCAACATCCGTGCACTCTTCCCGCTCATCGGTATAAATCAGCTGCTCTCCGCTCCCCTGCACTCCTACATTCATAATGCGGTGCTGCAATCACGCGGCCTGTGTGGGCATGCGGTTTATACGAAAATGAAAGCCATAATTTCAATATGTAACCTATTCCACATGAGGTAATGATGCGCGCTTCCCCACTGCGCGTTGTGTTAATTGGCTGACCTGAGTGCGCACTATGTTAATGTATATATTGGCCTATACTTTCGCTATTATTATGGTGTCAAATGTTTGCCCGTGCAGATTGGCTGCTTTGCATTAAAAAAAAACACGCCGCCTCTTTTGAAGAAAGACCTTACATTCAACCCCTAACAAAAAAAAATACGTCCTCTGCTATTTTTAGATGAAACATGAGTGCAAAACGATCGGTATGAATTGCAGTAATTAGTGGGAGGAATATAAAATTGCCAAGATGTAACTGAGCTCATTTGAGTCATACTCAAATGTGTGACTGTGCACACAAGCAATTATCACTTGCTCCTACAACTGTGTAAGAGATATTCCAATAACCGTTGGTCTCCTTCATGTTGATTAATCATTAGACATGCGCGCGCCCATGAAAATGTCTGCGAACTAAAAAAAACAGTATCCTGTACATCTAAGGTGTGCAAAAATGGAACGTTCGTGACATCCTAACTCACCTTTTCATTATACATGTCTTGTGTGCCCGAATTATTCGCAATGGCGATGTGAATGCATTATGGCACTCGGGTTGAAGACATCAGCTTTTCATATTTTGACCCCGGCACCTAACTAGCAACATTATACAATAGGTCATGCTCTTTCGCACGCCTTGCACTTTTCAAATCCTCGTTGATTTGTTCAGACACGGCTACATTTAATATAACTTAGCTCCTATGTATTCCGTGAATGTGCACGTGCACAGGGAATGTCTGTATAGGCAATGAAGTTCGATGAATCTCTGCACATCGGTTTGTAGACTAATGAAAGCACGAATGTAGTTGCATGATATACATGCACAATCCACTGCTGGATGAGGAGGGTCTCAAATGCATGTGCTGGTCGACCATACTTGACCATGCTGAACTGTGCAGGTTGGTGGAGGGAGGAAGCATATATGTGTCAGCGTGGAAAATGCCGAAAAACTACGAATTTTTTTGCACTGCCTTTTGTTGACAAAGAGTCGCCACAGCAGCCTACAGCACCTGTTGAATGCATGTTGGTCACCCACCCAAGCACAATCCAGGCTCAACTCTGCTTTGATTCCGAGATCTGATGAGATTTGGTGCGTTACGGGTGACTTGCTTTTCGGCATTTGCCTGATATATCACCCGTTTTACTCCACTTATTTTCTAAGAACATTTTGCTTTCAAACATTTTTTTCCCTCTGGATTTGTGTCCTTGACTTTGAATGTCATTGCAATTAGCCATTGTCTATCGACTGCTAGATAGAGGCTTGCCACGCTGTCTCTCCTTGAGCTTTACAGGCATGAATATGTGTTTTAAGTTCCCCATTCATTCATTCATCATCCAGGTCATATTCAGGTGGCTCAGGTTCCTAACCGACATGAGCCAAGCAGCCAAGGGGAGATCAACTACTCCTACATCTTCAACCTCCTCCAGGGACTCGGCTACCAGGGATACGTGGGCTGCGAGTACACGCCACGAGGTGAGTACTCGCTGCCCAGACTTTGTGCGTGCTTAGGGCATTTCAAAATAATACTGCTATAAACACGGCGTGACTACAAAACAGAGGAGGAAAGATCCGACCGACTTACTGATGGGGAATCAGGCCATAAAGAGTTCCCTCCCTCCACAATAGCCATCTATGATGGCTACTTTAATTACCCTGCCCATCTGGTCGAACACCATATGAGACTAGGCTCCAAAGAAAGCTGTCTCTGGTGTGAACCAATCAGTTTCAAAGACTGCATAAATTATCAGAGTATTGTTTTTTGTTTGCATTTGACTGCAAGTATTCTGGTTAATGTAAGCATGATTCCTTGCAAAAGGTGTCAGTTTTGTTGCCAGAAAAAAGGGGAAAACCCCTATTAGTACCCTGCCCAACTTTAAATGATCAAATGTTGAGGAGACACCATGGCAGCGTCCCTTATTCAGATGTTGTCGTATTGTATATCTGACTTTGTGAATTCTCACTTGTGCAGAGAGCACGGTGTCTGGACTGGGATGGCTTAAAGAAGTGCGAGCAAGCCACTGAGGTGTCATCCATTCACAATGGGTGGCATCCAAGACCACGTGAAAATCCAAAACTTCTGTACCACCTGTGCTCGAATCTGCACAGGCCCTAATTTCACACTGAACATTTGCTGGGTCACTGGTAGACTCGGCTTGTGATTAGCAGCCAGAGCCATCCCGTGTCGCTGTCCTGTATAGACCTGACTAATGTTATTTTCATGCATTGCATAATTGCTAAGAGGGTAACAATGCATCAATTCATCGATTACTTTTCCCAAGCTAAACAATACACGCAATTCATTGCTTGTATAATATGTCATGTTTTTTTTTTTTATTTGGCCTCCCCGCCCCACCATCGTGTGAATTTGTAGTTACTCAATTAATATTCTTGGTTCTTTCGATAAAGTCACTTAATTAAAAGACAAAACGTAAAATAAAATGCAATTTAAACAATTTAATAACAAAAATAAAATTATAAATTTAAAATAATAAAAGCAAAAAACCCACAATAAAAAATGCAACTAGTAAAATAAAATTAAAATTACAAGTTAAAAATACAAATAAATTGAAAATAATATAAAAGCAAAAAAATCCACGACGTTTTCGATCGCAACACAAGCGGTCTTCATCAGGGACAGAGAAAAGAGGGGGCAAGCCTCCAAATGTAGCTGCTGCTAAGGGTTCCAAAGTGAGTGGGCAGGGGAAAGAGCTGTGCAAGAAGCACGCGAATGCAGGAGCAAAACAAAGGGGGAGTTGGGCAGAGGTGAGCTTGTGCAGCGCAAACAGCATGGGTGGGGCAGCCAGTCAGCCAGCGTAAATGTAGGAGCAGACAATGGGGAGGGGGCAGAGAGAGGGGGTGGGGCAGAGATGGGGGGGGGGGCATTGCACCTCGCTACACCCATCCACACTGCTGACGGTAGAGGTTGACAAGAAAACACAAATCAAGTCATGACCCAAAGTGGTTGATGACATTTTTCCAATGATTGCTGAGTTTAAAACCGTCGTCTCGGTTGAAATTGTGTCTGTGTCTGCATAGATGGATGGCTTCGTGAACGAATCTTTGTTGATAGCCAGTCGGCTTGCAAAGTACCATCGTCTTAGAGAAATACATTTCATGTGAGCCAGCCGCATTAAAGTAATGATCAGCCACGGCAGAAGTATTGGTCCTGCCGTGTTTCAGTTCTACCTTATGTTCACGAACACGGTCCGAGACATGTCGTTTGGTTTCCCCAATGTAACTGCTGCCACAGATACAGCTTAGTTTGTAGCTGCCGGCATATTACATGTACAGATGGGATCAGGTCACGAATTTTGTGCATTGTGTTAAATCGAACCTGGATCTTGTATTATTCAAGATTTTGTAAATCTTTTTGGTTATCCCTGCTATGTTAGGTAAGGTGATGGTTTTGATTGGATCTTCAGATGGCTCCTTCCTCACGGTTGGGATGATGGCTTTGCGGATTGTGTAGTCATATTTTCGGGACATACTTCATACTTCACACCTACGCTATGTTTTCCACAGTTACACGCTCAAGAAAAACATTTCTAGATAAAACATGATTTTCAATGGTAAAAATTCTAATAACAAAATATATATTTCTGATGGCATCATTGGCAATTCCCAGTGCCACGTGCTGGACTTAGCCATCTCAGATCCAGGGCTGAAATAATGAAATGCTACTTTATTTTTCTTCGGTGATGCAACCCCCCCTTATAACATGCATGTCTATGGGAAAATAGGCTTCATACAGTGCGATTCGTTTTATGTGCAGTTTTTCAGGAACGCAAGTGGAACGTTGTGTGAGGGATGTCTGTACAGGTATTGGTTAATGTGATCGTTCCATCCCCTAAAGGCCGTTATAACATTCGCCACAATGTTGAGAGAGATAAACAAATACTGGGACTTCTCTACTTACGAACGAGTTAGGTTGCAGAGGTCTGTTCGTATGACGATCTATTCATAAGTCCAACTTTACTCCTGTCAATTCCAAACATGTTGTACGGCATGTACACTAAACACTGGGAATGGCTTTAAAAGTTGTATAATCTCCTTGTAGATGAAGATGCCACTGGTTCTTCATGTTCTGCAGATATGGGTTGATAATGTTCTGATGGGGGTTGACAATGTTCGTGAAAGGCACCGAGAACGTGGTAGTGAACCGTACAGCGACAAAACAACAACAGACAATGGCGGCGGCCCAGGCAGAAATGCTGGATAATGACACCGAACAACCACCACCATCTATTGCGCGGCAGTTGAACTTACGACTCTCAGTCGGAACAGGCAACTGAACATACGGACAGGTTTTTTCGTATATCTGAAAGTTCGTCAATCAGATGTTCGTAAGTAGAGGAGTCCCTATATTCTTGAACGTAATTATACCACCCTGAAGCAAAATTCATTGAATCTTGAGGGAGGTTAATTGTTTGACCCCGAATACCATAATCATCTAAAATACATCTCCAGTGTCTGTAATACTTTAATGTGATTCATCCACAGTACTTTTTTTTGTACTCCAGCTTTACTTTGACTGAAATCGAATTTGTGTTGTTACGCATACACTGGTGTGATACATGTGTAATAAAGGTCGTTGAGGCGACTTCTGGAATCCGTCTTTTATTCAACCTGTATTACAGCTTTCCTTCACACTGCTGGCAGGCAGCGTAGCCCCCTTCCTCTGTTCGTTCCTGTTCTGACCCCGTGTCGTTCGTCTCCACCCCTATTTAATACCCGGGTCACGTGGTACGTTTCCACCAATCCTGGTTAGCCTCCATGGAATATTCCAGGCTCCCTCGTAAGCTGCCGGGACCACGCCCCTGACTCATCTCCCCATTGGCTGTGGCCAAAGCCAGCAGAACAAATCCCCTACTTACAGCTGTCACCTTTCCATTACGTCAGGGCCACGCCCCTAGGTTTCCCCCCATTGGCTATAAACCAGGACTGGCAAAGCCAATCATCATAACGAGTTGTGAGACGTCATTGAGCCGGATATATCCTCACATTACACATGCACAATAGCGCTCCAGACACCAACGCGTAAAAGTGGGATAAGTTTATCTGCAGTGTTATGTTTTTGCGCATGCACCTGCATTTGTAAATCGTTCACATTCCTTGACGGTTACAATACAAAGCATACAAATTATCGCGTGAGCAAATCATCCGGCATGCAACGGATCTCCATATCTGTCAACCCATACGGTATACCCATATTCTTGTACAGGGAAATTGAGTTTCAGGTTCAAAAGGCGTTTCAATACGGGCAACATGTTTTTTTGTCTATTTGTGTTTCTCCCTTGTGATGAACGTTGATATTTGTAAGGGCACGGGGTGACCAATGAGGTGTGAATTGGTCTGTAATAAGAGAGGGCACTGATAAGGGGTTGACAATTTTGGATCTCTGAAGCCCAAGAAGATTAATTGGGTGTGGATAGTTCTTGGATGGGCGACCAGCATGCAAAACAGGTGTTATAGGCTCTTTGCCAGGCTACTAACCTCAATGCTCCCTCATAACCCGCATTGACCAGCGTGGTGAAGTATGGTCAAATAATCCCCACGACCCTTTATGGCGTGGTAATGGCCTCATACGCCAGTGGATTTACCAAAAAAGTCACTCAAAAGTACAATAGAAATATTCTGTTATTATTTAACCAATTGTATTCGTATATTTTGTTGCGTGTGGTTGCTCCACAAGCACTTCATACCATCCGTGTTCAAAATAAGACACGACCAATTATAAAGTTAATCATCCACTTTGTTTTGCTATTATTTGTGGCCAGGTCGCTTCTGGAAATGAAGCCAATTGCTCAGTGGGTTTTACCTGGGAAGATAGAAATGCAGGGTGCTTCAAAAAAATGTGAACACTCCTGATAATTTTCAACAACACGAGAAATGTGCAGCCTCCGAGCTCTGGAGACCACCTGGAGAAGATTCCAGGCACGCGTTGACAATGATGGCGAACAAGTGGGGACTCTTTGAAGCTATTAACATCACATTTGTTATCATGTTGCAGTGTATTTGGCCGTTCTTTTTTCCATTAAAAACGATAGTCTCAAAAAGTGTTAACATGTTTTTTAAAGTTCCCTGTAGTTGTTTTATTTGTGTATATTTTTAAGTGAATTGTTTACCTTTCCTAAACTTTTGTATTGTTTGTTGTTGTAACGTTCTGACCTGCCCAACTGGACATCTGTGAAAAAGAGCTTTATAGCTCAACGGATACCTCCAGTCTACACGTTTTAAAATAATTGGTTTATTAAAAGGTAGAGACTATAATTCGCAGCTCACATAAGCGTATTGCCCCTGACGTCACGGGTGTGGGGGAGGGGGTATCAGATTCCGTAGCACGCATGCGCAGAGGCGGTACAGGGGGAGGGGGAAGCTCTTCCGGGTCGAAGGTCGAGCGCTCCGTCTTTTCCGCTCGGGATCCCAGGCAACATGGTAAGTGTGGCCTCCGCACCCTGCCACCATCCCTCGTCATCCGCCTCGGATCTTCGCCTCCGCTAAACGCATCCGTTACAGGACTGTGCCCAAGCGACGTCGCTTTCATCCGCCGAGGATTTCGGGCGTCTGTGAATTTGGGAACGTGCGGCATAAGTCCGATGTTTGTGCGACTGCTTAAGTCAACTTTTTAGGCGATGGCGGCCCCGTTCGCCGCGATTATATAGCTCCTGTACTTCGCTGTAACAGCAACATTTTAACCGACTTTGCGTCCGCGTTTGCGAATTTTATCGCCGATTTTGTCAACGCCGTATTGCGTTGACGGTAATCAGTTTTGGGTGCACCACGATTAGCGAAGCCATTGAATGAGGCCGCCATTTGGGATGTATGGTCGCGGGTGGGCCCTCCGTGTTAAGCGAGGCGGATGAGGAAAGCGAGGAATTGCGTCTCGGCTTGAGCCATGCACCTCGGGTCATCGCTGGCGATCGAGTCGGTCCCTCCGGGGCAACGTAGCTTGATCGGTGTTTGATAATTGTCGTGTACACCGGGGCGTGCTTGCTTCGCCAATGGCTTATTGGCACCTCAAGCGATATTGCTGCTGATGGGACAGGCGTGTGGTGGGTAAGTCGTAACTTCGGGTTTGGGATGATCGCGTTTGGTTCTCGGGGTTGAAAGGCTTGGGGAGCATGGGTTATGAAGACTTGAGCCGTAACCTCTGGAGCGTGGGCTGATAAAACACGAGGACGCTCGCCCTCGATACTGTATGGGTTATTGATGTTGCGGCCTTGTCCCACTAGTCTTAAGATGTTTATGTAGAGCCTCGCAGCAGCACATGGATTGCGTGTGAATGGCCACGTGCTTGTGTGTGTGTGTGTTTCGGCCCTCGTCATTGACGGGGGTGAAACTTCCCAGCCACAGCATGGGTGGCGAGTGATATTTACACCGGGCCTGGCCAACCCGATTTGACCACCCCAACGCTGAAAGTAGTACAGTCAACGTTCAACAATCGACACGGGTAAATCCTTGGGCAAGTGAATCGAGGAAAGGGCTGGTTACATTATGAGACCTCCTTTACCAGTGGCAAAATATAGTAATAGGTTTTTACCCTTTCAACTGGTACAACAACTGACACCTTTATACAAGGGGTCATGTTTGCAATAACCACAACACAAGCAGTCAAAATGCGAACAAAAATAAACCACTCTGATAATGATTGGTTACATTGGCTGGTTACATTTTCTCACCCTAAGGTGTACGCTCAGTCCATGCTGAACCGTGCCCCCAATCAGTCGGTGCGTGTTCCGTGCGTTTGCGATTGATGCCTCTGCCCTGCTTTGTGTACTGTACGTTAAGTGCACCGCGTTTGCATGTGTGGCGATCTTTTTCTGTGTAGACCAAGGGGACGTCCTCGTTCGGCAAGCGCCGCAACAAGACACACACGCTGTGTCGCCGCTGCGGTGCCAAGGCCTACCACATCCAGAAGTCGCTCTGCGCCAAGTGCGGATACCCGTACAAGAGGAAGAGAAGCTGTGAGTTCACGGGCCCCCCCCATTCCACACGTTTGCCCCCAACATCGGCAGCATCACGACCCTGGACGCCTATATATGTCGAGTTTGCACGTGTCCTCTCACCGTGGTCGCGTGAGATTTTTCTCCGAACCCTATCGGTTTTTTTTCATCTCCACATTTAGAAACACGAGTCTCTTAAGAGTGTTTGGCTGCTATACATTTCCACACAAGCCACTTTGTTGAGCTATCATTTGTGGCCAGGTCGCTTCTGAAAGAGTTACATAGCTGGTAAAATTTAAAGTGTTGTTTGTCTTCTCAAATGCATTCCCTATGAACGCATGCGAATAATTCGGCCGTTATAAAAGTGTTTATCATTGGAGTTTTTTGTATCAAGGCGTGCTTGAAAAGGCTTAGGGAGATCGAGGCCCTCAAACATATTGTTATTTAATGCTATTTTTCTGAATTTGACCATTGTGCTGTTTAATTATGCTGTACGAACAATACTTTGAGTTTATAATTTTCAAATACAAATTGAGTCATTAAATGCTGTGCCTCTTAATAGCCAATCATGTGATTCATAAAAGTTTATTTGGGTTAAATGCATACATAAATATAAATGTCCTTAACCCGCCACCACCCGACACAGCCAATTAGTCAGGTTTGTCACGTAAAACACTGCAAATTAACGCACACAAGTGTGTTGGAGAGTAAAATTACATTTGCAAATTGAGTACGATTTTTTGCTGGTGATTAGCATCATTGTGGATATAAGTCACGAGAGCCTAAGTGTTTACACATCTTATGTGACTTGGTAGAGATATTGAGATTTCGTGTCTCGAGTGGTAAAATTTTGATGTATTAGATCGTAGTTATAATTCATTATCTGATGCATATATCATGCAGGCCATGTCTTGTAGGTGCATACGTGTTAAAGCTTTCATGTGTGTACTCATACTCTCATTTGTGTGCTTGGTGGCAGATCAATTGTAAGCTCAAATGTACTGTGGTAGGTCAAGGAATTGATTGAGATATGCTGGAGACTGACCTTATTGATGCGAGGATCAAAGACATGTTCATATGCGTGTAATTTAGCAGCTTGATTAAAATACCACGATTTCCTGTACCCATGCTTTCACAAGTGTAGTTCTTTTATTCCGTTTGCAGCATTGGTTGACCTGTGTGTGAATTCACAGACAACTGGAGTGTGAAGGCCAAGAGGCGTAACACCACTGGAACTGGCCGCATGAGGCACCTGAAGGTGGTCTTCCGCAGGTTCAGGTACAGCTCGCAGTATATATCATGCACCACTTTAAAACAAAGCAAACTCAATCCTTGTACACATGTACCTAGCCCGTGTCTTGCGTTGTCTCACCTGAACCTGACACCTTGTAATTAAGAAAACCATTTGTATTGAATGTTAGGGGTGCTGTACTTGTGTTACAGAAGTGAGGTATCTAAATATCTGTGATTTCACTAATGTGGTAGCAACGGTGCGCTTAATCATTGACACTCATCCTGTCAACACAACCTAGTATCTTTGTTGAACTTTAAGTGACTAATTGGAGATGTGGCAATTTTTTCCTTTTGTCATTTGTATCTGTTTTTTAATATACATAGGGATTTATATTCAAAGAGGATTCTTTTGGGAGTTTCATCTTTAGGATCCTTGGTACAAAAGTATAACAATTTGCCTGGTTAGTTTAAAAATCCGTTAATTTGAGCAATATTTTAGAATCGGAAATATCTACAATTTGGGGTCGTGATGAAATCATGGATTTTTTTTTCTTTTGCATTCTAATTTGTACTGCTTATTTGCTTAGAAGTTTTCATTCTCATTAGATTGAATGCAATACATGTAATTTATATTATTTGCGTACATGGTACGCAAATAATCATACGTTCTGAGAACCACTGAATAATCGCTTTTAGCCAATTGATGCATCATTACACGCCCAGTTTCTAACTTAATGTTGTCTGTTTCAGGAATGGATTCCGCGAGGGCACCACCCCGAAGCCGCGCAGGTCCGTTGCTGCTCAGACCACATCTTCGTAAACGTGGCCTGTTGGTAACGCCTGCTGCTGTGATAGTGGGAAATAAAGCATTGTGATGTACACAAACAATCCTGACTCACGTCTGATCCTTTGCATACAACTGCAAGTTGTGTTGTATTTTTTTATTTTACATTACTGTGGTTTACATTTTCATATCTGTAAATGCATATACATATGTTTACAATACTTAAATAATTGTTACCCAAGTTGGTATAATATATAATTACAAATAACTTGCCATCACCAAAAACATTCAATTTCAAGCATAATGTGTGATGGTAGCAAAACTCTCCCAAAAATTCTCACCACAACCTTAAGTCTTAACAAGTGTTGGAGTAAATCCAATATTCCAAGTGGGAGTTGTGAATGTTCCTGGGAACATAAAGCATATTTAAAGTTTAACATGCGCGGAATTTTCTATTACACCCCACAGTACAAGAACATGGTTCCAAATTGCAGTTTATAGTGAATTTAATGAGTTGGGAAATTCTATTTAAAAACATTCCTCATTTAAGTTCTAAGGGGCAAGTTAAAATAAATTGCATAAATATAACACTTGCAAAACTTTAATCTAAAAATATTCGGATGGTGTTTTAAAACGTATACACTTATTAAAACTGTTTAAAGCTGTGAAAATACGTTTTAGAGGCAAGCGGCATTGTAACAAAGTGCTCATCCATCCAGTTGGTTCTTCAGTCCAAGTTCATACATCATACACTGAAATCAAATAGCATAGACATCGGAATGAATGACGTGTATGATAAAGATGACATACTATTTGATCACTGGAGAATTAAATGTCTCCCATATTTCTTTATCACAAGGTGTATTTTACTCGGTTACATCGTGCCATGTTTACTTGAAACGCTGATTGTGGTGAACATCTCCCAGTATATGCTCTGCATGTCTAATTGGTTTTTAATGTTAAGGGAATAGTACGTACGTGATGTGCCAACATCCGCATACAATTCACTGGACCTGTAAAACAAAGTATGTTAAAAGCACTGCTAGGCTACACCCATTGACGACTTGCTATCCAATGAATATACTGTCCAATGATACTCCATAGAGATTTTTTTGGGTTGGATCGTGTAATTGTCGTTAAAACCCGGTACTACCTGACAGCCAACTAGTAAGGGTTGTCACGTAAACAGAACGTGCCAATTCGTCACGAGTACAGGATACTTACTGAAATTCTTGCACGTTGCTCGTGTGCAGTTGACAAGTGCGCACATAGCCATCTGAAAAGGAAAGGTATCATTAACGCTTCTCCATAATGCTGGTGGTCAGAATGCAAAAAAAATATTCCGGGGTGAGTAAAGATTTTAATTTACCACATTTGTGATTGTACAGTGACCATTTTCAAGTTGGGCAAGGATAAATGAACAAGCAATTTGGAATTATATGGCATCTTAACCTGCAGCTGCATCACAATACTCTACAGAAACTTGTATATGAGAGGCACTGGAAAAGGATGAAAAAAATGTAAAATGCTGGCAAGGAGTTTGCAGCATTAATTGTAGGAGAAGCCATTTCCACAGCAGTATCTCATGCTGCTGTTGGCTCGCTGCTTCCATAGATCAATATTCACATGCCCTTAGTTTTGAGATGTTGAGTCCTGTGTAAGAATAAGCAATATTACCAAGCATACTAAACCAATAATGCCTATTAAGGGGTGGGTGAACAATGCACCGAGATGGTACCTAATTGTCACTGGCCATGAAAGCGCATACACGTACACTTTCCGTGCTGGTTCCGGCAGATCGCGTACTCGTCTGTCACGTGCAGGATCTCTATTGCGTCTGTTATGGCTACGGCGAGCTCGAGTTTCTTGAGGGCGCGTGACTTGGGCTGGATCACCTCGGCGCAACACATCACGGGACTGTCCTCGCTCAGATGCACCTGTCCGTGAGAAATTAAAGCGTACATCATTAGTTTTTCCTACGTCATGGGAACGGAACCAGAATAAAAATAATTCAAGCACTGATAGCATGGGTGAGCTTACGTTGAACTTTTTCTGTAGCTGCAGCAACTCCTTGTTCCTAGTCTTGCTCTTATCCGGTTGTCGTTCCTTGGCCTTCCTCCAGTCAGCCATGGGTTTGTCACGTGCCCTGTGCAGTCACGTCCACCCATGTTCCAGAATGGCTATTTAAAACGTGTCCGTCCCACAGGGCGGGAGAAGACCCTCGTCAATGAAGCAGTGGATTGACCAAAGGCTGTACAAATGCATTGTACAACTATGCTGTATTTTCAGTTTGTACCAGTGATGTACTGGACATCTGTCAAAAAGCTGCATAGCTCATCGGATTCCTCCAGTCTAAAAGACACCGATTCTGATTCAGGATATCTGACGTTTCACTCCATGTTCCTTGAGAAGCTCTTGGCACGTGGTGTGGGACGTTGGACATCATGCCAAACCAAAAGACGGTAACGTCCCAAAACCAGATATACAGCACAACCTGAAACGCCTACAACAAGCAGTATGTCCACGGGATTAATTGTTTATGCCTCGGTGCTTGCTGCGTTACACAGGTGATTCTAGTGTGGGTACGTACGTACCCCTGGGAGTGAGCCGAGTTCGTTGGCGCATGAGCATCGGCGCCTGTCGAGACAAACAAGTGGTGAACCTTTTGAAAAGTGCTGGGGTTGTAGACCAGCGTTTGAACAAGTTAAGCAAAAAAAAACGCAAATGTGTAAACAAAGTATAAGGGAAACCTCAAATTACAGCATGGAAATAAACGAAAAGACCCAGTGTGCAATCGTGTATTGGTTGATATAGGCACGGTCGCACTGCTGCAGGAGTGCTCTCGATAGAAATATTCTCATTTCCCTCCATGCCCGATGGATTGGAGCCAGTAACCCTGTCATATCCAGCGCTTAACCGTAAAGATACCAATTTCGTAAAGGCCTCCCCCCAACCAACTGCGTGCTCGAGTTAGACAATGATTGTTAAAGCAAGCGGGTCCATGAACCGATTTTTGAGTGTTGTCCCCTCATGGTCGAACTAAAAACTACGAACTTAACTTATTTTTTTTACCCGGTTAAGGCCCACCGAGCTATATAGTTTTCTTTTTCAGCAGCGACCTGGCCACAAATGATGCCTCTACGAAGTGGCTTATCGCGTGGAAATGTATAGCAGCCAAATACTCTCAACCGCGTGTCGATACTAAATGTGGCGGGGATATACCGGAGGACACCGGAGAAAAGGTCCACGCGACCACAGGGAGAACACGCAAACTCCAAATATACAGTCGGGATCGAACCCACGACCTGTATCCCAGGTGAGAACATCTCACCACTGTGTATACAGGCTGTCCACAGGTTTCTCTCTTTTTCCTTCTACACACACCTTGGAAATTAATTGGGCCGGATATCCTGATACATTACACTCGTTAAGAAAATAGTATTGGAACTCTTGTGAGGCATTCAAATATTAAAATGTATTTGATTACCTGCTCCATCAGGCCAGTACATCATACCACAGTCTGGATGAGAGTCACTGTTGGGGGAATCGTGGAGTGAAAAGACACGAGGAAGAAACAACACAAAATAAACAGTCATTCAAAGCGATATTAATAAGTAATCGGTGTTGGCCTATGACCAAGTTACCTAATGTGCCCGATAACATCGAGCTAAGCAGGTTTCAGACTTGGACGGGCGAACACGTTCCTTCGGAGTCGGCAGGTAAGAACTTGGTTGGACAGCGCATTCGTGCACGACAGGCAAATATTCACGACAGACAGACAAATAATCCCTGGTGTGCAGTCTGGAACCTGTTGTTCCTACCTGCATTACGGTACACGTAGGTTACTGCAGGGCACCAACAAGGCAGTACAGCAAATCAATTGTACTGTACTGTCTATGCTCCCCACCTTTACCAACCCACGCTGGGCATCATGGTGGAATATCGTAAAATCATCTCCACGACCCACATGGCATTGGGAGGGCCCTCATCCGGCAATGGATTGGCAAAATGGCATGCACACATTCTATGGAGTGACTGGAATGCCAATCGCGATGCCTGTTCAGTGTTTTTCACTGCAAAGTCCTGCCACCTAACGAGGAATGCGACATCGGCTCGAAGAAAAACATGGAGCTAACCTTTCATAACTTGGTTGCCACCGACAGGGCATCGAGACCTACGCAGACAAATCGTACGTGCGCGAACTTGCGATGCGTGGCCCTCACCTCTCTTCCGTGGAACAGTAGTTGTCAATGTCATCGTAGATTTCCTCATTGCACTCTGCTAACACAAGGAAGGACCGTGCACAGAAAAGAAGCGAGCTCACGTCTGCATGTGTCGCATACTGTGCACAATATAAAAGTACTTTCATATCTTTATTTTTGCAATTGTGCATTTGGTAACTAATTGCCACGTTTTGTTTACGTGACAAACCTTACTGGCTCACTGATATCTGATGGACCCTGCATGTCGTTTTAACCCTTTCCCATTCCGATGACATACGTGTACGATCACATACGTCATGAGTTTTTCTTCCGATTGGAACGGAATCGGAAGGAAAACTAAAATCAAATAACTTGATCGGTACCGAAGCACTCACAAGGCAATGGGGGAGGCTGTGCGGCACAGTTTGGCACCAGCTATCATAGAGTGCGGTCGTGTTCCGCTCCGGTTCTCTGTGGTGAGCAAAATCACTTTTAAAAACAGCGGCGCTATGCCTCTGAATAAAGTAAATGCTAACTAATTCTAGATTTGAAGTTTTCGTGACTGCAAGGATTCATACTCTTTGCTTTTTTTCTGTAAAGTCACGTAGGTGAAAAATTAAAATAAATTAAATCACGACGTTTCGGGCACAACACAAGCGTCCATCTTCAGGTGGGGACAACTTAGCGAAAGCACAATCGCTTAAGTGTGTCCACAACTTAGCGTATGTGTCCACACTTAAGCGGTGTGCTTTCGCTAAATTGTGTCCACACTTAAGCGGTGTGCTTTCGCTAAATTGTGTCCACACTTAAGCGGTGTGCTTTCGCTAAGTTGTGGACACCTGAAGGACGCTTGTGTTGTGCCCGAAACGTCGTGATTTAATTTATTTACAATTTTTACCTACGTGACTTTACCGAAAAAACCAAAGAGTATTAATGCTAACTGCTTGTGCATTCTGAGGTTCAGTGGTGAACGGCACCCAACCTGCAACTTGCAGACGTCTCAGAACGAGAATAGGTTCAGGTGAGTGAGATGTTAAGATACCCACCCACCTCCCACGGTGAAGTAACCGTCATTGTTATCCATGGAGCTGTGGGGGGGGGGGGGGGTTAGGTCGCGTAAATAAAAATACTGTATGTTATTATCTAGGATTGAAGCTTTCGTGACTGCAGAAATTATATTTTAATTTTATTTATTTTATTTTATTTCTACATACGTGACTTTTCCGAAAAAACCAATGAGTAAAAATGTGTTGTAAAACCCTCCTCCACAGGACACAGCCAATTAATAAAAGTGTCACGTGGATTGAACGAGCGTGATGTATTACTGCTTCAACAGCAGCAGCACCACCGCCGGTGTTGTTGTTGTTGGAGAGTGATCTTACAACGTTTTGCTGGCAATTGCATTCAGCATCACCAGGTCGTTTACAGAAGCTTAGATCTCGAGTGAAGCGCTTCCTGAATCGGGTCCTTAAGTAGATACCACGGTTTAAAGCTTTCGTGACTGCATGGATTCATATTCTTGGTTCTTTCGGTAAAGTCACGTAGAAGGGAAACAATAAAATAATAAAAATATAAAACAATAAAATTCTCACGACTTTTCGACTGCAGCACAAGCAATCATCATCAGGTGTAAGTGTATATAACATATTTCTTTTGAATTGTGATTATTTCCCAAATAATTACCTATAAAAATAAGACGATTAAAAGAGAGAAACTCCGTAACAATATTTAGCAAAAACAGTTCATAGCGTTATTGTGGACCCTATATCGTACGATATGTTGTCGTATTGCGATTCCTCGGCAACCCTCGAATCTTATAAATAACCGATAGTAAGTCGTTTGCACACACAGGATGCGAGTGATGTTGATGATTCATCATACCCAGTGCTTTCCGGCAGCATAACATCATCGTATTCCCCACTCTCCCGGTGAGCAGGGTGGCCTTTTATTTTCGTTAGGAAAAACAAGTGCATATTTAAGGTCACCAGCAGAGCAAGAAAGCGGTTTTAAAAAAAAAATCGGTGCATCCCAACAGCTCTGTCCTAAAGCCCAATTATGCTAAACTCGCTGTAAGCGACTCATCAAAGATCAAGAATTTAATGGGTGAAATTCCCGCTTCCATATTCTTGGTGTGATATCCATTTAGGTGGTCCCTACCATATTTAGTTACCTGGGTCGTTTTAATATCCGATTGCCTAGCTCCCGCCAGAGTAACGCGGAATTTCTACCACTGATACAGGGTCACCTCATTGGAACAGTGACGGGAACTCTTTGCCATTGATGACTAATAACAATAAACAAAACACAAACCAGTAAATTTAACTGGATAAGGTCTTCAATACATCTATATAATTACCACTGTAAACAATCATGTGTGTGGAGAGAAAAAACAAACCTCAGCATAAATTGTATTTGATTACCAGCTTTGAATATGTTGTTGTTTAATTTGTAACACTGATCACCACGTATAATCATCATCATCATTATTACACATTTGCTGCTATCTGACAAAGATGGTGCTGTAAGCAGACGATTGGTATCACCCACCTCGCGCAGAGTCCTTGCTGTCACCGCACATTGCAGGCCTGTGGGCAGAGACAACGATCATTGATCGGTTTGGCAATCGAAAGCTAAGCCGGAGGTTTGGGCCTAGTAACTATTGGGATGAGAGGCTGCACTGGAATGTAGGTGTGGGCTGCGAGTTGGCCAGGAGATGGCAGTGCAGTGATGGTATCGTGAATCCATTCGAGTGGTTCCCCTCCGGTGTGTTCATGTTTGTCTCCACATTCCCTGGTTTCTTCCCTCGTGCCAAACACTCCTAAGTGGAATTGCCCAAACATCCCGATGTAACACGGCAGTCCTAAATAAGAGTCTGGGCTTTACTGGGTCAATAAAAGACATTATTATTTAAACACCCAGGTGCCAAGTTGCTCATTTGCACATTGGAGGTTCTTCTAACTATCCTAACTACACACCGTTAGGGATTCTATAGGAAAATCTACGGGTGACAGTGCCCCCATAATGAACATCAGTGCCCCCCCCCCCCCCAATCAGAGACAGATTTTCAAAGGGTATGAGTAAAAACGAATAATTGACTCCCACACGCACAATGTGACGGATGCCCCTTCAGTGTCACAATCGATCCACGGTGGAGAGATGTTGGTCGCCGCGGTGGCGAGATGTTAACTACCTCGCCTGGTATACAGGAGGTCGTTGGCTTGATCCTGATCCTGACGCCTGCTGCTGTATATCTGGAGTTTGCATGTTCTCCACGTGGTCGCGTGTATTTTTCTCCAGGTCCTCTGGTTTTTTCCCTCCATATTTAGAATCAACATCACGCGTTTAGAGTACTTGGCTATTGCTATACATGTCCACGTGATAAGCCACTTCGTTCAGCGGTCATTTATGACCAGGTCGCTTGTAAAAAAAGAGCTATATAGCTCAGTGGGCCTTACCTGGTAAAATAGAACATAGTTTAGTCTTAATAGTAATCTAAGTGATATCCCCCTTGATGCCACCTGCTAATGGTCCAAGAATTGCCACCGCAAAACTGTTTTCGTTCTTGATTTTAAGCTTTCGTGACTGCAGGAATCCATACTCCTTGGTTCTTTCGGTAAAGTCACGTGGGTAAAACAATAATGGATCACGACGTTTCGATCGCAACACAAGCAATCGTCATCAGGTGGGACAACCACAGCAAGACAAATCTGCTGAAGTAGCAGAAAAAACTGCTGAATTATGCAGCAGTTTTTTTTTTCTCAGAAAAAACTGCTGAATTAGGCAGCAGTTTTTTCTTGCTGTGGTTGTCCCACCTGATGACGATTGCTTGTGTTGCGATCGAAACGTCGTGATCTATTATTTTCCTACCTACGTGACTTTACCAAAAAAACCAAAGGGTAATGTTTTAGTGTTTTACCGATAAACGCACGTGTGCAGCGACCCACCATAATTTTCCAACTGTGTTTCGAGTCGAGAGGTCTCCTAACTCTTAACGGTGTGTACGGTCGTGCCTTCCCCAAAATAATCACAACAATAGTAACCGCTAGTTATTCAATGTCATTTTATGTCACTTCACAGCTGTCAATTGGGTGAGTGCATACGTGTATTATATGCACAGGGGTCCGGACCCCATGCCTTGCCCTTACCCTCTGCTAGGACTCACGATGTCATCGTAATCCCCGCTCCCCTCACGCCTCCGGAAATATTTATCACTTGGCACCTGCGACAAGCAAATACAAGAATCCTCCATGTAGCCGACATCGACTGCGGGTGCAAGTGCGGGACGCGAGCATCTATTAAGGCTGGAATAAGTGCACTCGGGGATGGGGTGGCTAACACTACCTCCAGCCGCCTTTGTCTCTCATGGTGCTGATGTTTACACACCGCATCAGCTCACATCACGCACGCACACTCATGTAGATATTCATCCCGATACACGCCTTTTAACTGTGCATGTGATAATACTGCACGTTACTTCCAATTGTCATTAGTAGTTCAAGTGAAATCTGCAGCCACCAGAGGCATTACATTCACCATTAAAAACAACTATTCTTTATCTTCTTGGTTCTTTCGGTAAAGTCACGTAGAAGGGAAGTTATAAATAATAAAAATAAAACATAATAAAATTATTCTCACGACGTTTCGGCCACAACGCAAGTAGCCGTCCTCAGGTGAAAACCAGGTCTGTCGAGGCGACTTTACCGAAAGAACCAAGAAGATGAATCCCTGCAGTCACGAAAGCTTTAAATCGAAACTATTCTTTAATCATGGCAATTCATAGGATCGTGACGACGGTGAAACACGACCGATATATCCACAAATTCTGCGTGCAACTCAGGTTAGACGTTTCACATTGACGCACTGGAGAGGCCACCAAGAGATAAACCCGTCCAACCGCGTTACTGATTTGCACGTGGAAAACATTGATTTTTCTTTTTTACAGGTTCTCGACTGAAAGTCAGACGATTCTTTCTCTTTCAGAGAGCAAAGCGGCAGCTGTGTTTAAAAACCCCCTCACGCGAGCTATAGCGAGGCACTCACACTTTTAAACGCATTTCATGTACACGTGGAGATCCATGAAAAAAGCTGTGCAGTATTCTGCACTTTTCTTCTAATCTCCACGCACGAGCACACGATATGCAAAACGGTGTACGACAATTTCATATCGGTATTCCAGTCCGGCCACATTCTTTCCGCCCACACAAGACTTATGCTTCATTACACACAGTTTCAGGGTTTATCGTTTCATTTTAATTTAAACCCAGGTGTCCCCCGAAAATGGTCTCTAAATTATAAACTAAAAAAAAACCGTACAGGCCTCTCTGTTACCCACTGATGGATGGATGCCATCTCATGCCGGGTGATTCACGTTTTATTTTTTTACTAAACTTCACCAAAGTGTCCTGCAACTGCCGATCGTCAGTCTCGACCACAACAACAGTCAAGTGGACTTGGGACAGTACAAGTCGTGAGAATCTATGATGGCTCGTGGACAAGACTGACAACAGAATGGCAAACCAAAGGGAGGGAAAGTGCCCAAGAGGACATCAACAGCGAAGACGGAGAGATCAAAATCAGCCCGCGCGCGGGTGCTGGGTGGAACGTCATTTCCCGAAACTGTTGGAGGCAGCACGGACTTGGGGAGGCGTTCATCCAGCAGTGAATTGATCGTAGCTGATGATGATAACGTGCAGATGCTCACCACCTCGTTGTCCTCCTTTTCCTCTTCATGCCCTGTCGGTGCCACGTCGTCGTAGATCTCCTCGTCATTCGGCGGCCTACGGAGGAAATTGGCGCAGACATCAATGTTGACACGTTTGTGTGCGTGCATGCGAATATACACAGACGCGCACCTACATTTACACCCAGGGGGCTAATTTCAGCCAGATCTATCCGGTCCTATGACTCGGAAAAGATTTCCTCGCCAGGTGCCACGTCCAGAAATACATTTCTCTATGGCTGTGACTACGAGTTACGTCCCTACTCCAATTGACCAGCCCACCAGAGTGAGAAATTCAACCCATATAATATAAACTCACCTCCATACACAAACTGACGAATTACATGCACATCTACAAGATCAAGATCCCCCACGCTGTCTTTAATGGACTGTCAGAGCTAGTGCTGTTAGCGAGCACCTATTAAGACTGGCACAGCTCACAAGGCAGTGGTGGTGGCCAGCACCCATGCGCGACTGCCTTTGTCTCTCCAGTGCTCATATTTACACACCACACAAGGTCATCGACCTTGGGGAGAGATCCAGAGTTTTCATGTATTACTCACCCCCGATGTTATCTTGAGCAGGAAATCAAACCAAGGTTGTTATATACCAAGCACAGTGCGCTAACCATCGCTCTACCACTACCCACACACCTGCACACGCCTACGCTCATCCAAAAAAATGTTACGGTTATGCCCTGTTATTGTAATATCCAGGCTGTGAATGATTAAAATCTGCAGCTCAAACAGCGGTCACGACTTCAGTGACACACTTAGCTTGGGGGGGAGGGGGGCGAGGCACTCACAACGATAGCTGGGACGATTACTCCATTAAGCCGATTGACAAAAAACTCTTAACGAATTTCTTTCGTGAAAAACCTCAACGAATTTGTCATTAGCGCTGCCTTAAAAATAACAAGTACGCAATAGGCAACGTTTCGGGCAATGGCCCTTCGTCATAGCACACAGACGGTGGAGTCGTGGACGATTAGTCAGGGCGTTTAGAAAAAAAAAGGAAGCTGCCCCCCACCACACCCTGCCTCCTGAAGGCAGGAAACCCCTCGACAAGCCACGCCCATAGTGACGTAGCTGGCGATGTCGATGTCACCAAGCCCCTCCCCCACCCATCACCTCCAGTCCAGCGGCGCACGGGGGAAACGGAGTTGAGTCTACTTTTTTTCCCTTCTCAAACTCTTTTCATGTTACCCCGATGAGTCGAGTAATAGAACAGCAACCGATAGAAATCATGGTGACACTGGCTCAGCGGCGGAGCAGAGCCGCTCGCAAATGAGAAAGTTGCGAGTTCAAATCCTGGTGGGGTGGAGGGGGGTGCTTTGACTCAGCCCCTCGGAGGGGTCAATAAAACGAGTATGATTTTGTGGGGAAGTCAACAGTTTGAATGTGGAGTTTCTACCAACCCACCTCGGCTGTAAAGAAGGACATGAGCACTGCCTCAATGCTCATTTGAGCGGAAAATCACCTTAACGCTCATTGACTCGACACCCTTTTGGGGTGTTAAAAGCCGCAGCGTTAATTCTGCAGCAGAAAAAAAAACTCCGCTCAACCTTGCGAAGGCTGGCCAATGCCACCGGCGGCTTCTCTTCAACGCGGCAAGGCTGTAGTCGAACCGCTTGACCGCACAGAAATAATTTAACGCGCGGAATGGCCAGTATTACATCGCAGAACACCTCAACGGGGGTGGTGTTTATGCTGCGGGATTTTTCCAGTGCAATTGGCGCATACTGTAATGTACACGCCTGCGAGCGTGGATTTCAAGAACGTTTTTTACGGAATCGCTCAAAATGCAGGCCCGATCTCGTCAAGATTTCGGGGGGTGGGGGGAATTGTGAAGCCTGGTTCATACTCGAACGGGCGACCACAATAGATTTCCCAGGTGCCGAGGCTGCAAAATGTGACCAGGAGATTTCAGTTCCGCGCATCGCCTCCTGTCCTCGTTTGCTCCCGTGGGTTTTCTCGGGACGCTGCAGTTGTTTTTAAATCCTTTATATTAAGTTCACTTGCTTGCTTGCTTAGGACCGTGCAAATATTTCGGTCGTTTTTTAACCCACTTCCCGTGATCCAATCGAGCTGACATTTTCCACACAGACTCGTTGTGCGTGACAATTAATGTTCGTGAAATTTTTTGTTCCAAAATTTTACACTTTTTAGGACAAAAATATTATATTTAATTACCAATTGCTTAATGCTGCCATGCAATCATCTGACCCATAGGTGGCAGCCATCTCAAGCCAGAGGACGAGAGGACTCTAGCCGCCACGCATATAAAGGATTTATAGTGAAAAACTTTGTTTTTACGGGTTATACTTGTTTAAATCTCCCATGCCAAACTCTCATGAGCCGAACTGGTCTCGTCGCCACATTTGAATGCAGGAGCCTACTGAGCAACCGAGTCTTGAGATGTTTGAGGGAAGGCACTCCTTGGTGAATAATTGACATTAGGAATAAGTATTCTTGGGTCTTTCGGTAAAGTCACGTAGATAGGTTCAAAAAAATACAATCGATTGTCATCAGGTGACGACCGCTTGTGTTGCGATCGAAAGGTCGTAGTTTTTTGTATTTGTTTTAGAACCTAACTCCTGTGACTTTACCAAAATACAATATAATATGAATTCCTGCAGTCACGAAAGCTTTAAGTCAAGATTTATTACGAGTATGACTATTATTCCTTATTATCATAGGGGTTGGCAGGTGGGGGGCAACTGTTGCTCTCAAGAGAGTCAGCTCATACGCTGGTCCCACTCAACTCATCTCGAAAATCCTCCCCCACCCACGCACCCCATGTATGCAAGTATAACTTATTTCACACCGTACGTGCCACTCAAACTCCCCTACTAACTTCAATTTCGTTTCACGGTTTACAGAATAACACTGTCTCCTTGTATCATTACATAGCAACGAGCGTACAATCGGAAGACAATTAGAGACTTTTAAAAACAAATAATGATTTCCACTCACCTGCATTGGTCTGTCGCATTTAAGCTCTCGCTTAATAAATATAAATACCGTCTTCTGTTCCATCTGTCTAACCGCGGCACGTTTGTTCATGTACACGTGAGAATATGAAACTCGGGCAGATGGCGTGAACGATTCAATCACACATAAGCCAATATAAATGTGTCGTTAAACCCGCCACCACCCGACACAGCCAATTGGTAAGGTTTGTCACATAAACTGAACATGGCAATTCGTTACTAGTACAGCACACCGGTGTGTTGGAGAGCAAATTCACAATATTTACAATCCGAGTACGACGTTTCTCCAGTAATCATATTTACGCGATCTAACGCAAAAAGAAAACTTGTATAATGGATGATATTGGTCGCAAAAGCCTACGTGTTACAGATTATATAGATTATAAAACGAGTTTGGCGGTGTCTTGAAATAAGAATGCGGAAAGTCCGGGGTGCTTCAATAAAAACAAGGAAGCAACATTAGTTTTTTCCCCAATTTCCGTGAGAAAAAAAAAACCCCTCCATGCAGCCACAGGTTTCACAACTTTAATCGCCAACATCATTGAGGGTCACTTCAGTAAAAGGCCACTCCACCGCACTGCACCGTTCGGAATTCAAAAACATACAACAGTACACGCACGACGATCACTCCAAGTACAATACCAGCTTTGAGGGGCACCTTTGGTGTCGTTTCGCCATCATGGCCGTGAACTATAAAAGGTGATCGTTAGTACGGGTGATCATTCCTGTACTGCTCCTCTTAGCTCTCGAGTTAAAAAGAAAGAATCGCAGGCACATTTATTTGCCACAATGCACCATTAGCTTCTCAGCGCTCACGGAATCGGGCGCATTAAAGTTGATTTGGTAAAATGCCCATGGGGTTTCTCACTTTTGATAGCAAATAAACATTGCGTCTGTGTATGTGTTCATTAATGGCTGGTAGTGGGGAGCCGTGGTGTAGCGGTTAGCGCGCTGCGCTACGAATCTGCCGACACGAGTTCGATTCACGCTCACGGCCAACACCAGTGACGATTATCTGAACCGGTCCTGGGCATCCCCTAGGTCGACTCGGCCTCAAATGTGTACCTGGTGCGGTGTGTAAACATCGCCGCTGGGGAGACAAAGGCGGCCGGGCGTGGTGTTGTCCACCCACCCCCTCGTGTGCCGTGCCGGCCTTCATAGGTGCTCGCTAACAGCACTTGCCCCTACAGTCTGTTAAGGCTACACGGGGGATCTTCTTTGATGGCTGCACGCATACTCACACCACATCTACGTACAGCTCCGGATGCTCCACCGCGGCATCCTGACGTGGTGGCCGCGCCGACACGGGGACATGTACCACCGGGGACACTGCATGGTCACACAAAGACAAAGACCCCCCCCCCCCCGTATAGCCTTAACAAACTGTTGGGGCAAGTGCTGTTAGCGAGCAGCAACTATGAAGGCCAGGATGGCGTACGAGGGGGTGGGTCGCCAGCGCCACGCACATAGAGATGGAGCCCACTTGACAGAATCGCAACAACTGCCGAAGACTTATTCAAGCACAGAGTGAGACGTTGGGTTGCCTTTTAACAGATTATGAAGATTGTAAGATGCTTGCAGCGGGGGTGCACGGTTTGAGCCAGCTACCACCCTGATTGCGATTGCTGCCGCTGTATTGAGCAAATATATAAAAGCCGTCTGCTTCACAGAGGACGCGAGAGATCCCGCGAGTTAATCGAAAGAGAGTAAGCCGTGCGTGCCGGCATCATGGTCCAAATTCGCCGTGCTTGAAACTCACTTGAAAATAACCTCATTGGGGAAAAAACCCACGGGTGCAACATCACCTCCACGGTATCCCCGCGCTATAAGAACGTCGCGAATACCGTGCGCACCAACATCCGCTGGACTCGAACCTGTATAGTTGAGTCCGCCGGGCGGTCGCGGGGGCTTGGCGGGCGGCGGTCCCAGCTGGGCCTTCGAGGGCAGCTTCCTCCTCTGGGGCGTCCCTTCCCCTCTGCTCCCGGGGTTCGGAGACTCGCTCGATGTTCTGGCGACCTCGGGAGGACACGGGGAGCTGAGGGAGGGACGATTGACGAGCGGCGCCTGTCCCGCACCGGGTCGCCAGGCGCGCTGCGAGGTCGGCTCCGGCGGAAGCGGGCACGGGGAGTGGTGGCGCACCGACGGGCGTTTTGGCAGCTGAGGGGGCTTGGGTATTGCCGAGCTGGGAGATGCGGCGTCGGCGACAGCGCCTTGAAAAACGTAGGTGTTCTTCCTCACCTTGCCCGCGCCGACATCGTGGTGCATCACGCCGTGGTCATAGGTGCTGATGAGCTCCTCCGGCTTCTTGGTCCGGTCCAACGCCTTGGAGCAGCCGCCGTTCTCACCGAGTCCCTTCGCCTGGGAGGGGATGGAGTGGTTCGCGGGGCGCGGGCTCCGGAGGGCGGCAGAGTTGCCCCCCCCCGGGCCTGGGTTTACCTTGGGGGAGGCTTTGGGGGGCACGGAAGGCGGGGCGTTGAAGATGTTGCGAATGTTGCGGAAGTCCTTGAATTCGGGTTCCGCGCGTGCCCACCAAAAATAAGCACAAACAACAGACACCGTGGACGTCATTAGTCGGAATTCGGTGCTACAGCAACCAAGTGATGAGGATCGAACTAACGAACTATCTAGCCAACTAGTTTTATTTCGGCAGGCAAGGCCCACTGAGTTGTGTAGCTGTTTTTCAGAAGCGACCTGGCCACAAATGATAGCTCAACTGAGCGGCTCATCACGTGGACATTTATAGCGGCAAAATACTCTAAACACGTTAACAAATGTGGAGGGAAAAACCGGAGGACCTGGAAAAAAATCCACGTGACCACGCGGAGAGAGACACACAAACTCCAAATATACATTCTAGATTTGAAGCTTTCGTGACTCCAAGGATTCATATTCTTAGGTTTTTTCGGTAAAGACACGTAGGTAAAAAATTAAATTAATAAAAGTAAAATAAAAATAAAAATCACGACGTTTCGGAGGCAACACAAGCTTCCGTATTCAGGTGGAACCGTCACAGCACGATAGCTGTATCAAGTAAATGAGAGATTACAAGAGATACCACTCCGTATATATATATTTTTATTTAATTTTTATTTTACTTTAGTTAATTTTAATTACAAATTTTTACCTACGTGACTTTACCGAAAAAACCTAAGAATCCAAATATACAGCAGGCGTCTGGGTCGGGATCAAGCCCACGACCTCCTGTATACCAGGCGAGGTAGTTAACATCTCGCCACCGTGGCGCCCAACATCTCGCCACCGTAGATCGATTGTGACACTGAAGAGGCATCCGTCACATTGTGCGTGTGAGAGTCAATGATTCGTTGTGTCCATATACCCCGGCAGCTGCGAGTAGAGGTGTGGCATTTACCGTGTTTAAAATTTGTAGTTGGAAGTAAAATCGCATACAGTCTTAGCAATGTGTCGTGGCTCGTGTCATGCGTGCCAGATGCATCTCTCTATTACTACCGTTTGTCCCTCGTAAGTCAAATGAGTACCTGGTGTGATGTGTAAACAAAGGCGTGGTGTTGGCCACGTACCCCATCGTGTTCCCCAATGCCGGACCTTCATAGGTGCGCGCTAACAGCACTTACCCCAACAGTCTGTTAAGGCTAAATGGGGATCTTTGTCTGTGAGCAAAAATAATTCATCATTATTTGATAAGCAGCAATGATTCAATCCAATATGTGCGGGGGGAGGCTACGGTTGCCGGCCAGCCGAGGATAGCAACATTGCTTGGTGTGCTGTCCTGTGCTTCTACGTTGCGAGGTATGGTATTGTATATTAATATCTGGGCCATGGCACAACATTTGAAGTTCATTCATTAGGGATTACCAACCCTCACCCCTCATCTTTTCCCCCCCATCCCTCGCGTGTTTATTTTGGATTTTAAAAAAAGTTGAAACAAACATTCCGAACGACCTCTGTAAATATGGACGCGCCCGAACCAGAAAATGTGAATTAATATTATAAAAAATAGAGAACTAAAATCCCACTGCGTCTGTAAGCAACAATTCGGATTTCATCACGAACATAGTAATACGGACTCTGCCACTAAAAATTACATAAAAACTATTTTTACGTATTTATTGATCCATTTATAATTAAGCGCCGACCGTCTTGTTTCCCAACCTTTTGTCGCGCACGGCTCACGCCGGTTCGCCCGGAATGGCCTCGTCTCGTTGGATCTCGGAAGCCCAACAAGCCACGAGTCTGCCTCGCACCTCCACAGGAGCGGGACTGGGAGTGCTGTAGTACCAGGTGGCGTTAGAGCAGCGGTCGGGAACCTATGGCTCGCGAGCCATATATGGCTCTTCCGGTGACGGCATATGGCTCCCAGACAATTTCCAGTTGAAAAAAATAAAATGAAAAAATCAGTTTGGAACTGATTTTAAAATACTTGTGATATTGCTTAATAATACTGTGTCATTTTAAAGTAAACAGAAATTAGTTTTGAAGATAAATTTCACGGGTCACGCCTGCATGAAGCTCAACCTCACCACGTATGAACCAGACTACAAGGCCATCAGCAAAACCACGCAGCACCAGAAGTCGCATTAAAAGTAAGACATTTTAAATTTATTATACGTTAAAAATACTATAAGGCTCTCAATGAAATATATTTAGAAATATTTGGCTTTTATGGCTCTCCCAGTCAAAAAGGTTCCCGACTACTGCGTTAGAGGTTTGGGCTAAAAGGTAGCAGCAGTTCCAGCGATTGATTCTTAAATTAACCTGTGGCCTTTTATGTCTGCTACATATTTTTTACTTTTTATTACTTTATTGTTTTCCGCGTCTTCCGATTTCCTCCAAAACTCTCGTTCGGCAAAACAAAATTTGTCCAAACATTCCAATGTACCACGACCCTCCTTCAAAGGGGTATTGAGACTCGGTAAGGCTTTCGTGTATCATTATTAACGGAATCTCGGAGGGCATCTGAGTTACAAATCGCCCACCGCTGATGTAACTCGTAAGATCCGATCAAAAAAAACACGCACGCGCTGAATCAACTTCCGCAACATCTCTTTGGCTCGAGACCAGCGGTCCTTCTGAACCTGGGGGTGCGAGATGCTCTTTCTAGGCGGTGGGCGAGACATGGCCTGATTTTTTTTTAATAGAAGGTAAATAATCGAAAAGACAAGTTAAGCACGGGCCCGTACGCACAACTACTCTGTTTCATCAAGAACCAAAGGGGTGCAGGGCTACAGTAAAGTTTAAGGAAGAACCACTGCTCCAAACATCGCCATCCTTCGTTCCTTACTTACCGCCATGGCCGATCCCGGGGTGTCCTTGAGTCTTCACTTCCGAAGCGCTCAAAGGCTTTCTCTTCTCGTTCTCTCTCGCTCCCTCGTCTCCTCTCTCTGTTGAAGTTGTAGCTCTTAGAGCTTGCGCGCTCCCTCGTCCAACCAAAAATGTAGGCGATCTCTCTCTCTCGCTCTCTCTCTCTCGCTCTCTCACCGAGTCGCTTACAGCCCGAGTGGAGGATGTGAAGGGACTGGGCCAGGAGATTGGGGGGTGCGTAGCGCCGCCCACGCCAGCGCAGCAAAGCGTCTCTTCCTTGTGCTGCTGATGATGATGCTGCTGATGCTGTGGCCTCTGCTATTGCTGCTGCTGCTGATGTAGCTTATGCTATTGCTGATGATGATGCTGTGGCCTCTGCTATTGCTGATGCTGATGTAGCTTATGCTATTGCTGCTGTGGATGTAGCTTATGCTATTGCTGATGTAGCTTATGCTATTGCTGATGTAGCTTATGCTATTGCTGCTGCTGATGTAGCTTATGCTATTGCTGCTCCTGTGGCCTATGCTATTGCTGCTGCTGATGTAGCTTTTGCTATTGCTGATGCTGTGGCCTCTGCTATTGCTGATGCTGCTGTAGCTTATGCTATTGCTGCTGTGGATGTAGCTTATGCTATTGCTGATGTAGCTTATGCTATTGCTGATGTAGCTTATGCTATTGCTGCTGCTGATGCTGTGGCCTCTGCTATTGCTGCTGCTGCTGATGCTGCTGTAGCTTATGCTATTGCTGCTGTGGCCTATGCTATTACTGCTGCTGATGCTGCTGTAGCTTATGCTATTGCTGCTGATGATGTAGCTTATGCTGTTGCTGCTGCTGATGTAGCTTATGCTATTGCTGCTGATGCTGCTGTGGCCTATGCTATTGCTGCTGATGCTGATGATGACTGGTCAGGTTGAATGATTATAATACTTTTACGGCTACAGCGTTGCTGCTGTTTCAGTATTCGCTTCTGCTGTTGCCTAGCCCAGGGGTCGGCAATCAAAATAAGAAAAGTGCATTTTTTCGAATTCGGTATATATAAAAAAGAAAACCTCTCAACGTTCCAAGAGCCACAATGGACCGTGCTGGTGAATACGAGGCGGTGGTGGTCCTTCGTACATAACGTCACGAAGTCGTGCTTAAAGAGCCGCGGATTGACGACCCCTAAGCAATACCGATGCTACGTTGGTTGCGGCTGCTGATGATGGCGCTGTTGTCGATGCTGCAATTGCTGATGCGACTATTGCTGATGCGACTATTGCTGATGCGACTATTGCTGATCCGACTATTGCCAACAAGACTCCTAAGCCTGCTGCTGCTGCTGTTGTTCTGTTGCTGTGTTGTTTGTTGTTGTTGTCGTTAAAACAGGAAAATCTCATTGACCCCCAAATACCTTGTCGGAAAAATCCTGGGAATGTTTGGCCAATTACTCTTGTAATAAGGGGTGCATTGCATGTGCCGGGAAACGGGATTCCCTCGAGAAAACCCACCACGCATACGACGGGATATCACGCAAGACCGATTCACAAACCCAGTTGCTGTACTGCCACGGGAATTTCACAGATCTTTACGTGATCCACCGACCCTTGCAGACCCGTCCTGTGCGCATTTGGCGTCGCAACAGGGACACGTTGCAAAGAAGAATCTCCCACGCGTAAACAGAGCGCTGGTTGAGGTTGCAGACGCTGTTGCAGCTGACGATGTTTCAACAATGTATACCGTTGATCACAGATATGAAAAGAGATGATAATGATGGTATTACGATAATATACGAGTATAATACACAGTCTGACATAACAGAGCAGCGGGAAACAAGTCCAACAACGACATTTAATGACAGCCGTTTGTCCAATACACCACTGGATGCAGATCTCCTCCCCACACGCACTGTCAGTCCATCACGGCTGTTCGACCATACTTCACTACTCTGGTCAGTGCGAATTGGTCAGTGTGAATTGGTGAGAGGATCTGGGGCAGGACCAGTTCAGATATTACTCGCCAATGATGTGTATTTTTATATACATCGTTTTTGAAACGTATCGTTTTTTTAATGCATGTCGTTTTTTTATATTGTAGTGTAATCGCGCCGGCTGCTGTACAGCAGCGGCAACTGCGGTGGACAAATCGTACACACGCCGTTGAGCACATACACGGCTTCATACTCTTAGGTTTTTTCGGTAAAGTCACGTCTTCAGGTGGAACCGTCACAGCAAGATTGATACAGCAACCGTCACAGCACGATTGATACAGCAATCGTGCTGTGACGGTTCCACCTGAAGACGGAAGCTTGTGTTGCCTCCGAAACGACGTGATTTTTTTTTACTTTTATTAATTTTATTTTTTACCTCCGTGACTTTACCGAAAAACCCTACGAGTATGAATCCTTGCAGTCACGAAAGCTTCACATCTCGAACATACACGGCTGTGTGTCAGCAGGGCGGAGGAACGGGAGCAAGGGTCGTGGAAGACCCCGTCTGGAAGCCCCTGGAACCCGCTAGTGGGTTCGAGAAGGGAGGCGTGGCCAGGGCGGAGCCAGGCCGCGCTGGGTGGCATAAAAGCAGCTGAGAGCGGGAGCTCGGGGCTGCCGGATTTGGGAGTGGACTCGTCTCATCGTCGCTGTCGTCGCCTTCGTCGCTGCCGTCTTCGCGAGATGTTGGCAGGCTGGATAGTTGTTGGCTGTCTCGGTCAGCCCCGTCGGTGTTACACGGTCAGGGTTGTGTTTAGGCGAGGCTAGACGACTCGAGAGAGTGCGAGGGCGATCCTGTGAAGTGTGGTGGTGTTCATAAAGAAGAAGGTGCCTCCTGGAAACGTCTCCGAATCGCTGACACTACAATACATATCGGTTGTTTTTAAACATATCGTTTTCCACCCTTCCATTGAACACGTGCCCGGTACAAAGCGCAAACCGCAACAAGGAAAGAGTGGAACAGCAGATCCGCGGTTCCACGGTTCACATCTCGGCAAGTGACGTTGGCCGTCGCCAGAAATCGCACTCAGAAAGGCTGGTTCAGTGGTTAGTGCACCAACCAATGCACCACCGCTCCACGGAAGTTTACAATGCAGGTGATAGACGTCAGTGACATGGCAACAGTCGAACGCTATGATGATTTCATATTATTAAAGTATTTTATTATTGTTGTAAGTTTTTTTTACGTAAAATACAGAAACTTAGCATTTACCAAGAAGTTTATTCTGAACCCACACGTGTTGAAATGTACTGACAGTTGCGCAAAACGAGACAAAGTTGATGTACGCTGCATGTGTCGAATGCGTGTTGTTGAACTTCTTTCGCACCGTACGTAGCCAACCGTGCTGAATCGGAGGTGCGGGGGGAAGGACAACAAACTAAACACAAAAAGCAGTTCGAAAGAAATGAGTTTTCAATCTATTGACTAATCTAAGTACAATTTTCACGTGCAATTCTGGATTTTTGTAAGTGCATTTGTAATCGTGGATTGGCACTGTATCACTGGTACAGGTAACATAGCGTACAAAGTCAAGGGTCTGAACATCTGTGGAAATCGAAAGCAGGATGTTCTGACTCCAGCAGTCGCCGCTCACAACGGCCCACCTTCTCAACATTGACCAATATTTTCCATCCAAACATAAACGGAAGTCTTTCCACGCTTCGCGCGTCAGATGCTAAACAAACACTTCCCACGTGAAACAGAGAGCTGATTGAAACGGGGAGATGTTGGTTTGCGTGTGTGTAGGTGTGAACGTGTGTTTCCATAGCTACGTGAGAGTGATGCTGCTGGTGACGGTGGCGGTCGTGGTTTTCCACGGGGGAGACAAAGGCGGCCGGGAGCGGTTGCTGGCATCCCGCCCCCCGTGTGAACAGCACTTGCCTCGAAAGTTTGTGGCGGCTATATTGTATGGAAGGGGCTTTGTCTGCAGAGCCTGATTCCAACTACCAAAGATCTTGTACCGCGCGACTTGGAGAGGGCACCGGTGGACATTAAGAGAGTCCACGTGCCGTGTTCAGCAATCGTCAAGCATGTTTGTGTATTTGGCCGGCGAAGATGAACACATCATGTTGGAAACGCCGAGGGAGCGATGGATGGTCTCAATCCAGGGCCGAGCAGTACAGGTGTGTGGGAAGGTGTTCGCGAAAACGGAGAGAAGTTGTATGCGCGTGGTCACGCCGCGATGCTCTGTTCACTCCATATCCAAAGGGTGGCCACTCACTGCAACACACACACACGCACAAAGACAAAGATCCCCCGGTTAGGCTTGGAGACTGCAGGGCAAGTGGCGTTCGTGAGCACCCTCACTCAGGCGGGCACGGCATACGCAAAAGACAAAACCAAAGATCCCTCTGAAGAGCCTCGATCAGACTGTTGGGGCAAGTGCTGATAACGAGCCCCTATCAAGGCCGGCACAGCACACGAAGGGAAGGGTGACCAGCACCACGCCCGGCCGCCTTTGTCTCCCTAGTGGCGATGCTGACCGCAGCAGGTACTCGTTTGAGGCTGAGTCGACCTAGGGGAGTAAGCCCAAGACCCGTTCAGATAATCGTCATTGGTATTGACCGTGAGCGGGAATCGAACCCGGGTGGCCGGGTTTGTAGCGCAGTGCGCTAACCGCTACACTACCGCATTTGCATTCGCATATATAGACACACAACTAATAAACAGAGATGTTATTACCACCCCGTCCAATACGTATGGCTGTGACAATTCACCCCCCCACACCCCCAGCGAGTGAATTGTCACCATTCACAGTTGTGATCCGATTCGAATTTGTATTTTTACAATTGTGATTAACGTAGCGACCTCTAGTGGCTGGAGGTGCCACGCGACCCCCATTGCACCGTTTGTCAATCGACGATTGGATGATGGCCCTTCCCACGTCGTGGCGGTTGTGAGTGGAGTGGGAGGGGGGTTAATTGGCCATACTTCATCGGGCTGCTCACTGTGGGTTAATGAAGACAAGGAGCATACATGTGGGAGCATAGAAGTACAGTACAATAATGGATTTAGTACCATCCTCTACTGCCCACCATGTCGCGCCACCACATCTCACGGTGCTGTCCGAATTCAAGTCAACGTGCATATCCACAGAGCATGAAGCGGCGAGGTTTCTGATATAAACAATTATTCGGTTTTAAAACAGAGCTAGAGGACGTAGCGTGTCGAGGCCGAAAGACGAAGCCAAGACGCAATAGACACTTGACAGGGAGAGGCAGTCGATTCTAGATTTGAAGCTTTCGTGACTGCTAGGATTCGTACTCTTAGTTCTTTCGGTAAAGTCACGTAGGTAAAAAAATGAAATTATTTGTATTAATTTTAATTTCATTTTTTACCTACGTGACTTTACCGAAAGAACTAAGAGTAAGAGGCAGTCGAGTCACAGCGTGCAGACGAGAACAGCCTCACAAGATGAGCACCTTGGCGGTGGCCTGCACACCTCCCATGAGGCCGCTGAACGGGTCCGGCCCCGCACTTGCGGGGGGCCGCGCGGGCCCGGCTTGGGGGGCGGCTTGCGGTCGGGGGGCGGCCACCGGGAAGACGCTCACCACGGGATCCCCGCCCAGGGCCAGCTCCAACTCCAGCTCTGGCGTCGCGCCCACGCCGAATGGCTGGGTGCCGCCGCCGCCGCCGCCACTGCCGGGCCCCACGTGGTGGGCCGGCCAGCTGGGCTGCTGAAAGGCCTGCTCTTGGGATGGCCACACGGGCCGAAAGGCTTGGTCTTGAGGCCACTCTGGCTGAAATGCTTGGTGTGGAGAAGGGCCACGCTTGCTGGGCAGCCTGAGCCGGCGACGGCCACGCTTGCTGGCCAGTTTGACCCGGTGAGGGCCACTCTGGCTGAAATGCTTGGTGTGGAGAGGGCCACGCTTGCTGGCCAGTTTGACCCGGTGAGGGCCACGCTGGCTGGGGAGCCTGACCCGGCGATGGCCACGCTTGCTGGCCAGTTTGACCTGGCGACGGCCACGCCGCTTGAGAGACAGGCGCCGCCGGCTGCTCGAGGCCTGCAAACGCCTCCCTGTAGACGTCGGCTCGTGCGGCCTGCGACGACGCCGAGTGTTGCTGCGCGGTCGCTTGACTGGCCATGCTCGCCAGAACAGCAGCTGCTTGGGTCATCTGCGGCATCCAGGGCGCTGTATGCTGCTTCTGCTGCCGCTGCTGTTGTCGCTGCTGCTGCTGCTGCTGCAATCCTAGTACACCTGAAGGTGGCACAGCTTGAGGAGTTCCAGCCAGAGAAGTTGGGCTGTTCACCGTGGCCGACACAGGAAGCCCGGCTCCCCGAGGTGCGGGAATCGTGATGCTCAGTGGGGCCCTGCCCGACTCGGGACCGCCGGGTGGCCCCGCCGAAGCCGCCGGCAATGCATGCCCCACGGAGGCTGCGAAATCATCGTCGAAGGAGAGCGGCGGAAGAGTGAAGGGATCGCCACCCTGCTGCACCTGTGGTTGGGAGGGCTTGGAGACGGTTGCGTATATATCCATGTTGTCCAGGGCCTGCTAGCACGCATGCATACAGTACATTACCTGCGATTAGCACGATTAGCTGTGTACGGTGCGAAAGAAGTTCAACATCCGGACATGCGAGTACACGTGCAATACGCCTTAGCTGAACGCATCTGATGATCAGATCCAGCAGAAGGTGATGTAAAGGATTTGCTTGAGAAGAACGTAAGAGGAAGGTGGCATGCTGTAGACAGCTGCTACCTTGTCATCTTCAGCCTTGTAAAGCAGAGGTGGTGCGTGCATAAGAAGACCAATTGATCCAACAAATTGTCATGGTGCAGCATTTTAAAATAATTCGGTGATGGTTGATGTTCTTTATGTCCGATTCGTTTGAGAAAAACACGCCAATCCGTACATCACCGACAATTACAAATGTGCAAGGTGATGCGTTTTGGCCATTTAGTCACGGCGTGTATCTGGCCCACTGACCATGCACACATTTAATCCGGATCAACGACGCACAACAGAGGCATGTTTCTCAGAGCATATATTTACATGGAGATTAAATATCAAGTGGACGATTCAGAATAATTATATCCCGAAACCGCATGCAAAAAAACATGATGTGCACATTTAAGCCTGACATCTGGCCAAGGTGCTGGGGACCATAGGAACCCTCACGCGAACCCATTGTTCACTCCTCGTTTAAGTTTGAAAAAACAACAAACTCTGCCTCTGGTTGCATCAGTCTCAAGTCACTTGTTCAGATGGATTAATTGATTGGAAGAATGAGGCAGCCTGCGATGATGATGCTACACCAGTGCTGGCCTCCTACCAGATCCATTCTTCTGGGAGCCAGAAGTGACATTGAATGTGAAACTGCATGCAATAGTGTTGGTGGTGATGTTGATGATGTTCTATTACAATCGATAATCATAATAATGATGACGATGATAGCTCAGCAGTGTTGGGTTCCCACCAGACCAGTTCTCCTGGGAAGCCACGTGAGCTGCATCTTGGTGGAGAATGCATTGATGAAATAGCCACTGCCATCACATTTTCAGCTGTCCCAACTAATTTCTCTGCACGCAACAGCCGAGGCTGGAAAACACACTCCTCGACCTCAAGCCACGGCGGGCTTACCACTGCTTGGAACCCTCAAGGCGCATGGGACCAGGAGATCCTGTACCTGGACAGACGCAGGATCGGGGTCGTCTGTGTCGGTCTCGCCTCCGCACGTCCCGTCCAGAAACATTGTGACATTCCCGGCCGTGCTGCCTCCCGCGTGAGCCACTGAGCCAGGGCCCCCGGGGGGGCACTCACTCCGGAGTCTCGCGGGGTCCCCGATGAGCACTGGGATGTTGCACGGCGACCCCCAGGTGGGGTTCGACCACCCTTCTTCAGCGGGGGTCTGAGTGCCGACATAGGCGCGCGCACAACGACATATCGAGATCGTCCTTAGTGAGCGTCTATTAAAGTAGGTAATGTTAAATTGATTCCCACGGTTATTCAATTACGGTCCCCGTTTTTTTTTTACTGTTATACGAATCCATTACAAGTAAAATGTACAAATTGAAGAGCGTCAGTTCTTACACACAATGTGATGACTGTACCGTGACCTTAACAATCGATATTGTCGAATCAATGCATCGTTACACCGTTGTGCCTGGTCCTGGTGTTGGCTCCTGTCGATGTAATTGGTGTAACCAGTGGCTGGGAGGGGGGAGGGGGGGTGATGTGGTACCATGGGAGAGTGGGGCTCAACGGAGGTGCTGATCTCCCCAAACAAAGCCACTTGCTCAAAGTTATTCTGCAAGAAAACACAACGCACGCACTTTGACACAGGCGCCCAGCGAGGCATGGCACTGAAACTTTGATCCAGCTGTAGATGCCACGGCGATTACACAGCGCAGCCTCAACACGCCAGCCCATGGGGTCTGATGGCTATCACATCTGTACAGCTGTGTTTGAATTGGCTGCCCCTGCACGCTAGGCGGTTTCTCCAGACGCCCCGATGTCAATGCCTCTCGTAATTTTTCGTTGTCCGTACCCGCACCTCCGATTAGCACAGTTGGCTACGCACGGTGCAAAAGAAGCTCAAGTGGTGGCCGGTGATCGAACAACACGATGTGGTATCCTTAGGTTTTTTCGGTAAAGTCACGTAGGTAAAAAACATTAAAAAGTAAAATAAAATAAAAATCACGACGTTTCGGAGGCAACACAAGCTTCCGTCTTCAGGTGGTACCGTCACAGCCACGACAGCTGTATCAAGTGAATGAGAGATTTCAGGAGTTTCGATTTAAAGATTTCGTGACTGCAGGGATTCATCTTCTTGGTTCTTTCGGTGAAGTCACGTAGAAGGGAAGTAATAAAATAATAAAAAATAAAACATAATAAAACAATTCTTCTACGTGACTTTACCGAAAGAACCAAGAAGATTTCAGGAGTTACCACTGCGTTTATATAATGGTTGGAGAAGGTGGTGGGGCATGGGCCGCATCTTTATTATTAATATGGTAAGGTGAGGCTTGAGACTAAGCATAGACTGCATAACAAAGGCTGAGCCTTATGGAGAGGTGCGGTTTGTGACTCAACCTGTAACACGGAGACCACCACTAAACATGGTAAAACAGTAATGGTTGTCTGTCAAATAAGATTGGCAAATAAGTGTAGTTAAATATTTTTTGCATGGTTAATCATGCAGAGATGGATAACCCCACCTGCCAGCTATGTCTGTAGATGGTGGTATAGCACATGGGTTGCCCACGAGCTCTCATGGTGGTTGTTCATCCAACCAAGCACGAACCAAGCTCACCTCTGCTACGCTTCTGCATCGTGACGAAATCGTGCGCGTTTCCAGTGAATTGGCCACGAGGTAGAGAGAGATGCACTCAGGGCTTAATCTTAGCTGAGTAGGTACCCGGTCAGCAACCCGCAACGCATTTGCGAGCCCGGCTCAGCACATCCAGCAGCATGCCTCTTGCTACGGTTGTGGGTACTGGTCACGCACCAAATACTCAGTGAGAAGTTCACGCCTGTACATATCTCTACTGGAGTGGAGTGTTCTTCATTGCAAGGCCCGTGGGCCCCTGGCGGCCCCTGGTGGCCTTTAGTGCGGCCCGTGACGTGTGGCCCCCGACAATAAACAACACGTGACAACACCCCCCCCCCCCCCCCATCATCATCGCGCTGCTGTCAAACCCAACAATGGTTTAAAATGTGTGCCGGCACTCACACTGATGATGTCTTATCGGCGAAAGTGCCATCCCCATCCTCTGAAAATTCGTGAAGAACACTGCTGAAGTGCGTATCCACAACGCAAGAAACACATTCATTTCTTTGCTCACCGTTGTTGGTGTGCCCCCCTCCCCCCCGTATATGAGTGCTCGTCCCACGTGAACGCGTCAGTGATTAACGCCGAGGCCACGTGCTCGCGCGGCCGCGTTTGATCATCGCCCCGGACTTTGATGCGCAGAACAGGTGCGCGGTCTCTTGCATTGTGATTGCGGTTCGTTCTAAGTTTTCCTCCTGTTTTGGCGGTGGCAAATGAGCAGGGAAGGGAGCTGGTTGGGGTTATCTGTAAGCTTAAGCTAATTTATAAACACGTACTTTTCACGTGTATGATGTTTTCAGGCAACTCTGTGCTGTGAGGATATTACATCAAGAGTCAATACAAGCCGTGAGTCAGTCGTAACAATTCCATATTACTAGAGCCGGGATCGAGTCTATCCGTGGCGCGACCACTTTATCTGGCTAAGTTGACTCCCGATGAGAATTATGACTCGTACAATGAATATTGAGAGCAACCCTTCCGATCACAGCGCCTCCTTGGAATACCCCCCCCCTTCCCTCCCAACTGGCAGATATAATTATGCCCATTTGTAGGCGAGTGCTGCGTATACCATCTTGTGCCACACAGGGACAGCTAACCACTTGGTTAGATTGGCCGAGTTGTGACGTGATATTAACGGCGCTTTGAATCAGTGAGGCATGTACGCGCCCTACAAATGTAAACCCGGATACGCCTACAGCGGTGGCATTGAAGGATATTGCGAGTTGTGGGTAGATGGGGGGGGGGGGGTTAAGAGGGTAATTGTGGGGTTCAAGGATCACCTTGACTGGGACCCCCTGCCCCAAACCCACCGAGGCATCACCATCCCCAGAATGTCCCCGGGCCTTCACCTGTTCGTCGAGTTGCGAGGTCGCGTCTCCCCCAGCTACCTGGGGCTGCTGCCCTTTCCTGCTGCCCAGCAGCTGGAAGACGTCGTGAATGTCCATGATCAGGGGCTCGGCCTGCATGGGGAGGGGGGGGGCAGCCAAAGGGCAGCGAGGGGGAAGGAACAAGTCAGCCCCGTCCATCAAGAGTCAACAATGGCGTGGGATGTGATACTGCAAGCGAAGGGGCTGATGCTGATGATGATAATATATCACTATTTATTAAAGTGATCAACAATGATAACTTTTTTCGGTAAAGTCACGTAGGTAAAAAATAAAATTAAAAGTTAATAAAAGTAATAGTGGAAATAAAATCAAATAATATAAGAAAATAATAAATCTCCATTATTACTTTTATTTCACTTTTAATTTTATTTTTTACCTAAGTGACTTTACCGAAAAAACCTAAGAGTATGAATCCTTGCAGTCACGAAAGCTTCAAATCTAGAAACAATGATAAGGTTTATGATGGTAATGAATAACAATTGATGATGGTAATCATTAACGATTGATGACTGATTATGATATCGATTGAATATGATGATGGTCATAGCGATGATGAGTCACTATTGTACCATGTTGATGTATAAATAAAATATGTAACTATTAATTAACATGTTGATAATTAAGGATCGCTTCTGATCGTCCATTACACCGATTGATGAAGGTACACAATGGATGATGACGACGGTGATGCTTAGCGATTATCGGCGATAACAATTACAATAATGACACGTGGTCCACACACTCTTTTGTGCTACGAGCCCGTATGGGATTTTCAATTTCACAACAATGACAATCTCTCTCTCTCGATAACACCGGTCTACAGCCAAAACGCTTCCGAAATAAATGTAGTCCAAACTTGACTAATTCTGGGTCACTGAGAATGAAAATTCTGCTTATAATTGTTGTGTGGCTCTAGTTTTCAAGATATGCTACTGGGTGAGTATATATGACCCTTGACTTGTGAACGGCAGAGGATCAATGAACATTGATCGAGACACCAAGACGATAGATTCATTACATTAATTAGCTGATGGAAACGTTGTAGGGGTTAGGGGTGGGGGTGTAGGCCCCCCCCCCACACACCCCAGCACTCACCTGCTGCACAGTTTTGACGGCGTAGAAACAGTGGGCTCCGGACGCTCCGCACACGTAGCCGAAGGCGCGCGGATCCGAGACGTCGCGGGCGATGTAAGAGATGAAGCCAATTGGGTGCTCGTACTCGGTGGTCTGTGGGGGTCAAGGAGTCATTTGTGGTCACCCCCCCCCCACCCCGCCACCAGGAGTCGGGAACGGAGAGCTCCTTGCTGAGCCCAGGGGCCGGCGGTCACCCAAGCACACGGAGACATTTGTCCCCTGTTGAGCCATACATACTATTTGTTTGTTATGAGCGGTGCCGGATTATCCGAGTAGCTAAAGTAGCTACATATGCTGTGGGCCCCGCATTTTCAAGGGCCCCGCGCTAAATGCTTTCAAGCTATCAATTCTAGTTCAGTGATTCTGCACTTGCTCTATTACTATAGTTCTATATTGCCTTCAACTTTTATAAACGAAGGTTAGCGATTTGTCGTATTATCTGGCTGTATAGCAAATGAAAACATACATTAACTTGACGATGTAAGTTAAAAATTTACGTGTTTTAATATTCACGTGTTTTTTATTTATTTAGGGCCCCTTTATAACATACGCTACAGGCCCCGCACAAGCTGAATCCGGCCCTGGTTGTGAGCGCTGTTGGTGAGCGCCCACTGAAGCCGGCGCAGCCCACAAGGTGATGTGGCGTGACCAGCACCGATACCGTCCGCCTTTGTCTCCCCAGTGCTGATGTTTAACACACCGCCCATCAGGCGATATTTTAAGGCTGAATCGATCGAGGGGGAGGGGGCTCCGAAACGGTTCAGCTATTACTCGCCACCATCAGAATCGGAATATTTATGTATACTGGAGAAATCCGATGAGCCATAAAGCTCTCTTTCAGAGATGCCCACTAATGTTAGCTGTGACCAAGAATCAAACTCCGACGGCCGAGCGTGGAGCACGGTGCCCCAACACTCGCTGCACCGTCCCTGTACGTTACATGCGACACGCATGTACACACACACACGCGATCTCCATCTCTGTCTGGTGTCCGTGTTCAATGTTAAAGCTGAGTCGATCTCGGGGGAGTTCCAGAACAAGAGTTATGCTACAACTCGCCACTGATGTTAGCCGTGACGGCTATTGGGGGGGGGCGAGGAGAGCACGGTGGAATGTATATGTGTACCCTGTATGTAATGAGTTCATGTAACCCCTGCTGATAATACAAGCCACTACATTCATCACAACATTTAAAATTAATCATTCCCTAAACTGCCGGTTGTCAGCTGCCCTCGTGGGTCGTTGAGGATGCGGCATGGATACCGTGCAGGACGCATTACGAATACAGGATAGGGCATCAGGCAGCAGGCGAATTGTGTGGTGTGTGTGTGGGGGGGGGGGGGGTGAGACACGCACTCCACTCTTCTCATCAGAGATGCGGATGCCCTTGAAGGAGACGCTGAGAAGCACGCGCTGCTTGTGCTGGCCCCGGGAACGCGAGGCCGACGCCACTGCCTGCAACGGGCGTCGTCGGCATCGCCATCATCATCATCACCGTCGCCATCATCATCATCACCACCGCCGTATCGCCATCATCATCATCACCACCGCCGTATCGCCATCATAATCATCACCACCGCCAAGAGTAAATCAGCCGGCAATGAGCCCCCTTCCCATACCTATCCATCCGCCTCCCATCGGCCGCACAGACTCCTTGGAGCGCATCATAGTAATAGTAATAATAGTAATAATTTCAGAGGCATTGGTTTTCAATACACGACAACACTGGACAGGTTTCTGCATGCAGTGTCTCATCAGCAGTCAGGCTTACTCGAACCAGTGGTGGTGACCTGGCAGATATATACGGTACAGGCAAGGACCCCTCACTGTTCGATATCGCTACCAGGAGGCCTATTGTCTGCCTATTGAGTGTTTTACTTTTATTTTTCCACAACGGCGTTCGTGATGATTTTGTACTGTGAAGTCATGAATCTGATAATGTCATCATTTCCATTATCAGATTTATGACAAATCGAAGACGTATCAGAATCATCAGTAACATAATCATTATCGTTATATGCATTATATGTATAAATATCAGAATCGGAATGTACATCATCGTCAGCATCAGTGGGAAGTTCAATAATATTATTATTGCTTACACCATCATAATCATTACCATCGTTATCTTAAGATGTATCATCAGCTTACATATACATGTTCTCAGTCACGGAAGTAGTGTCACTCGTTAACATTACAGGCATTCGAATCATTCTCATCATCTTCAACATTTCATGATCGGGTTAGTACCAACAGCTTTTATATCATCGTTGTTCTCATCATTCTGCCTTTTCTCATAGACAGTAGAGGCGAGTTAGCGAACACCTATTAAGGCAGTGCAGGCCACAACCACGGGTAGGGTAGGCAACAACCACGTTACGGCAGTACTGCCGTTGACTGCACACGCACTGGGTCCTCACTCAAGGGGGAGTGGGGGATGCACGGGGGAGATGGATGGTGGTCGAGGGCAGAGTCGACAGGGCAGAGGGAGGAGGGAGAGAGAGAGAGCTGGCCGGCTCGTGTGGGAGGTGAGGTCGTGTACCTTGAGCTTCATCATGGCATCCTGGCAGATCTTGTGTCCGGAGGGACCAGGCACTGGGTCAGAGCCGATGATCTTGGCTCGGTAGCTCACGCCGTCTCCAGAGAAGAGACGCGTGAGCTCATCTTCGCTGCGGTCTTTACCTGCGGAGAGACACGACCCGGTTCAGGCATCGGCCACTGATGTTGCCCGCGGCCGGGCATCGAACTGCACTGGTCAAATTCGTAACGCGAATCGCAGACGCCACCGCTCCCACCCACGCACATTGCAAAGACAGAAATACAACAAACGCGTGTACACGAATGCACATGCACACGATGAGTCTGCTCAAGAATCTGAGACTTTACAATGAGGGCAATTATGATTGTTCATCGACACAGACACACGCAAAATTCAGATACATAGCAAACATAAACTAAAAACTAAACTCTTGTTTTTATTTTGCCAAGTAAGGCCCACTGAGCTGTATAGCTCTTTTTCAGAAACAACCTGGCCACAATGGATGGCTCGACGAAGTGGCTTATCATGTGGAAATATATAGCAGCCAAATACCCTAAACGCACGTTGTTTCTAAATGGGGAGGGGGAAAAAACAGAGGACCCGGAGAAAATCCCACTCGACCACAGGGAGAGAGAGACACGCAAACTCCAAAAATACAGGCGTCAAGGTCGGGATCGAACCCACGACTAATTTAATCATCCCAGTGTCCTGCGCGCTCCAAGCGTCCCCAAGATGCCCCCCCCCCCCACCTTCACCTCTCTTTTTAGACTTTCGAGAGGAGTCCTTGATCTCGGGCGTCTCCTCGGCCATGGCTGTGACCTCCTCCTCCTCCGTTCTCCCGTCACTGGCCTCCAACAACAACAACAACAGCGGCAGCAGCAGCACCTCCTGCGGCGACCCACGAAACCGAGGAAGATTCAACGGAAGAAGCAGAGCGAAGCGAGAGCCGCTCCTTGCTGGCGCGAGAGACAGGGTCTCAACAAAAAAAAATACGGAGGGAGCAGCAGCTGGAGGAGGAGGAGATTGAAGAGGAGGGGTTGGAAGAAGGATGGGGAAGAATGAGACGGAACGAGGGAGGAAACGAGACTTTGATGTCTCGCCGGCGTACGTATGCCACGCGACCGGAGGGGAATGACGCCCAATAAACGCACAGGCACACTGACTGGCACGTATGCGCGTGTGTGTGCGAAAATATATTACGATGGTAATTATTTACCAAAGAAAGCCTCACTCGGTCAAAGGATGGAAATTTCGAATGCGTGTTTTGTTAACGAACCCTTTGATTTTTTTGTCCTCAATAAAAAAAAAACAAGGCGATGCGTTTCACCTGCCTTGGTCAAGGCGTGAATCTGGTCCAAGAGGACCGGGTGGTAGGCACGTAACGACTATGTAGTAATCACAGACCTATGGAAATTCACTGCTGGATGACGGACTCCCCCCCCCCAACGCCGTGTAGGTCACGGCGGTTTGTTTGACCATAGATTGTTGCGACGCTGGTCGGTGAGAGTTGTTGAAGGGCGTGAGAGCCAAGTCGCGTTGAGATTCTACTCGCCACTCATGTTAAGTCATGGCTAGGAATAGAACCAAGGTGACCACGTTTTTACAACCCGGTGTGATCACCAATACGCCACCGCTCAATCGTATGTAACGATTACATCGATCAATATCGATGCTCATGCCCTTGCCACCACCTCACAGCCTGGCGGTTTCGGGAGTTGTCATAAATTCCTACGTGATCCACCAATCCTTGCCTCCAAAGCACTGGAGCACATGCGTGCCCCCCATACCTGGTTTATCCGCCCTATCAAACCCGTCTCTCACTCCTCCCTTTCTTCCTCTTGACCCCCAAATCGCACCCCGGCATCACGAGACAGAGGAGCAGACGTCCTGAGTCCCCGCACAGATTTATCGCGGCCGCGAGCGAACTTCGCCTCTCAGCACGTGAGTCTGGCCTCACGTGAGCGCGTACCTGGACCGCGTCCTCCCCCCCCCCCACCGCGTCCCCGTGTTAACGATTCGCTACCTCGTTTCCACGACCACTTGGCAGCGTGCGCTGTCAGCCCCGGAACAGCCTAGTACCGTACCGATTAATGTAGGAACGAAATAGATAAACCAGACCATTAGTTCTGACATTTAAATAAGCGGGGTTTTTTTGTTTTACGTGTGGGAGTAGTCAAACCGGAGCATCCCAGAGAAACTCCCGCGTGTGCGAGGGGGCAACACTCGATCCCAGTGTTCTTTATTGCAAGGCCCGCGGGCCACTGTAGGCCCCCTGGTGGCCTTTAGTGCGGCCCGTGACGTGCGGCCCCCCGACAATAGGCAACACGTGACAACAACCCTCATCATCATCATGCTGCTGCTGCTGTCAAACCTAACAATGATTTCAAATGTGTGGCGGACCTCACACTGATGATGACTTATCGGCGAAAGTGCCCCCCCCCACTCCCCTGAGTGACGTTACAACTGCTCTATTCACGAGAGAAGGAACAGATGGAGTCCGCATGAACTCTGCTGCATTCTGCCGGCAAGCCAGGGCGAGGGAACAGGGGGGAAGGGATGTCCACAACATTTCCGTGATCCACCAAATCTCTCGCTGCCTTCACATGAGCAGTGCTGGATTATACAGAATGTGTATTCACACTGAGAGGAATCCGACGAGCTATGAAATCTCTCTTTTTTTTCACAGGCGTCCAGTCAGGAGGTGCCTGGTCAGAACTTTCCAACAACAATACGAACACTCACAGCGCATACGTGCGTATGGGCCACCACCGCCCCAAGTGGCATTGTGAACTCTGATTAGTATATACAGTAACGTCGTTTGTTGCCCATAAACATTTGGCGAGGAATGGTATGAACGAAAAACAGCATTCGCTATATAATACAGCGTTGTGCAAAACGGACGATACGATTATCGTGAATCTCATATTCTACGATATATCGTGATATCGCCTGACGTCACCGCGATATATCGTGATATCGCCTGACGTCACCGCGATATATCGTGATATCGCCTGACGTCACCGCGATATATCGTGATATCGCCTGACGTCACTGCGATATATCGTGATATTGTCTGACGTCACTGCGATATATCGTGATATCGTCTGACGTCACCGCGATATATCGTGATATCGCCTGACGTCACCGCGATATATCGTGATATCGCCTGACGTCACCGCGATATATCGTGATATCGCCTGACGTCACCGCGATATATCGTGATATCGCCTGACGTCACCGCGATATATCGTGATATCGCCTGACGTCACCGCGATATATCGTGATATCGCCTGACGTCACCGCGATATATCGTGATATCGCCTGACGTCACCGCGATATATCGTAGTGTCTCGTGACGTCACGCGCTCCCGTGACGCGCACAACCGTCATGGCGACCGCCAGCAGAATCATCCAGCGACTGAGGAACTTCTTAAGCGGGGTATTTACAATTTAAGCAATTAGCGACAATTAATCAATCCCTCGCCGAGACACCCAGGCACACAGCACGGGGAAATCAGCAATAAAACGTCGCAGGTGCGGGGCTGTCGCAGCGCTCTAAACTCGCAATGCCCCATCGCGGTGTCAAGGTGACGCCAGGCCGAAGCCTGCGTAACCTAGTTGCTACGAGTAGGCGCTGTTTATTTGTTTACTGTTTAAGGTTTTTTGTTGTTGTTTAAAGCTGCGTTGGTTAACGTTTGCTGTCGCGTGTTTGAACGTGGCGTGGGCAATTTACATGGCAGGTAATAACGGTAGCGGGTAGAACAAGGTAGTTCTATAACATTGGCGTTATTGGATTTGTCAATGCCACGTCTGATTATCGCATCATGTTTATCATCACTGTGTCACTATACCGCGGTTAATACCGCTTGGAAACTTAAACGATCATCAGTAGATAGTCGATTATTCGGCAGCTTCGGGGGAAGGGGCCACTGGACTTTCAAAAACGCCGGAATTTTTTTTTTAAATAGCTTATTTTGGCACGTCTTGCACAACATTATTTTAAGGTGTTGTGCATGTTTATTTTTAGTGTTTAACATTTGTTTACTATATGAAAACGGTATGGCTCAATGTCAGGGTAAGGCTCCATTCTCTTTGCGAGTGTGCTCAATCCCCGAACTTTTCCCCTTCTTTGAAACCTGCGATCTTTACGTTTTTGGAAGGTGGTCGGTGTTTGATGTTCACAGTGATGACATGGCCCAGGAGTAGCGTGGTTCCCCTCTTAAGGATTCGAATATGGCACGCCGCCTGGTTAATGCTGTCTATTTAACAGCAAAATACACATCTGCTTTACTGGAGATATTAAAGATCCAGTGACGTCATTTTCAAAAGGTAGACATTTGGGGTCGTGTTCCAAATTTGTTATTTTACCTTGGCAAATAATGTACTCGTTATAGGTTACACATAGCAACATTTCCCCATACTGTGAACCTTACCTTTTATATCTTTGTGCAGGGATGTCGTAAATGCCAAATGAACTCGTGCATTTAATTATACACGATGCAACATAATTTTTGTTCCTGGGTACCAAGTGTTATTTTTCCATTGCTTATGCCTAAAAAGTATAGAAAATGACTTCCCCACAAACTTTTCTTTTGTGACCAGGACTTTATGTGAACGAAAGACACAAATGCACACGTTTCCTCATTGAAAATTGGTACATTTCTAAATATAACTGTCCTGGTTGTTGTAGGCATGTTAACGTTTTAATTGCATTTAGCAACACAAAATGCACATCGCGGTTGGCTTGTTTGGCGATGCAGGTAGATGCATAACTGAGTTTTTATGCTCGTGTCATTGCAGCAAGACCTTCAAAGCAAGTTACAACTGCGTTATACAGAAATAGCCAAAAGGTGAGACTTGTCTTGTTTTGGCGAATGCTTTTGTCTGAATTTGTTTATGTAAATGTGTCGTAACCAACAAGTTGGCACATCACCATTTTGCCTGTTTGGTCGAAATATTAATGGGTCAGTGAATTCCGTATTTAATCCCAACAAGGACATACTAGCTAAAGTCTTTTTTTCAGAATTGTGCAAAATCCAGACCTTTAGTTTGATTGTTAATTTCAACAGAGCATCAGTTAACTGGTCCAAAGTGATTGCCGTCTAGCACAGTATTCAACATTGTTTAAATTTAGTTTTGCCCCCCACTTTCAGTGCATTATTACAATCTTAGTTATCTATTTGTTGCTTCTGTTAACTGTCTTAATTTGCTTTGTTCTCCCTTTGGCAATGTTTAATTTTCTATAGACAGAAATGTGTGAATCAGGGCTTTTTTAACGATTTAAGTGAATGACATGTCTTATTTGTTTTTGGACTCATGTCCATTTTCAAGACCCTTTTTTGAAAATATTTTCATTATCTTCATGTCCTTGCTGATTGCAAACTCAAGTAGATGTTCTCTCTCATTCTTTACTCTTGTACCAAATTTACAAATCATCTCATCTGTGCACCTTTTACATAACTTTCCTTGAAGTGGCCCATTACAATGTTGTACTTTGCTGGAAAATTTTTTTTACACGGAATCCTGGTACTGTGTTTATTTTACAAAAAGTTTCTGTGTTTCAGGACGCAGCCACCCCCGAAACTTCCAGTGGGGCCCAGCCACAAATTCGCCAACAATAGTTACTGCCTTAGGGATGGCCGGAGACTGACCGTCCCTCCAACGGTCCTCATGTCATCGCAGAAAGCCCTGCAAGCTGGCACCGCTCTACAGAGGTAAAGCAGCCTTTGGGAAGACCTATGACAGGATAGGGCTGCCAAATCAGGCATATCCAATTGGCTTATTGATAATTCAGATGAGCACTCGCTGAGATCTGATATTCCTTAGGCAAGAAGGAACTGGATGAAAAAAGGGTAGGCATAATTTTCAGTTGAATGACTTACGAATGTCACGATGCATGCATTTACGCATTTAAATATTTGCTTACTCGCTACATATATGCACAATTGTGCAGTAAGTGATTATTTATTTTTTATGAAAATTATTTGGACATTCTATATGTAGGCAAATGGAGTGAACAGACGGCCAGTTGAGAATACACATGAAATGGAAGAAACAAGATTAAAAAATAAACTATTGCCGGATTGAATTAGGATGTAAAACTGTGATCATTCACATTGCTGGAGCGTTGAATTCATACATGCCTACATTACGGGTTTCAGAGTAGCTACGAATTTCCAGCTTGTAACTCCTTCGTCACTTCATTTTTGGTGTATAGATCGGTAGCAGCTTGTGATAGTCCGTGACGAATCACACTTTTGCTGAGTTATCCACAAGGTGGCAATATTGATAAAGGTTGAAAGTAGCCAGGAACGTTTTATCTTTGACCTACACATCATCAATAGAGCAACAACAATCAAGTTGGATATTATCTTTGAGCTCTGCAGGCCAGCGTAGTCACATGATCAGCACAATGTGTGGTTGGGGTGTGACAAAAAGAGAGGGAGCCCAAGAGATAAGAGCTGCAATACCAAGACAAATACAAATATCCTCTTTCGCCTTGAAAAGACTGTCGGGGCAAGTGCTGTTAGGTTGTGTACTGTTCCGGCCTATGAAGGCCGGAACGGTACTCAAGGGGGTGGGTGGCCATCACCACACCCGACTGCCTTTGTCTCCACACCCCACCAGATAATTGTCACTGGTGTTGTCCGTGAGCAGGCATCGAACTCAGGTCGCCGGTTTCGTAGGGCAGCGCGCTAACCGCTACACTACCGCTCCCCCCACTGCAATGGCAACAGCCACCCTCATAAGCACATGGCCAGGGAGAGACAATATAGAGGGAGACAAACCAGTTAGACTTGACAGTCAGACAAAGGGAGACAGAAACACATTGCCTAAGAGACTGGGAGATTGACAAAAGATGGAGGAAAACAACGACAGCAGGCGACATATTTGCTAGTTTATTAAAAGATACATATAAACATTATTATTCGGCTTCAAATTCAGATTTGCAGAATACCTAAATAGGGCAGATTATTAAAAGGTACCGTCAGTGCTCAACGTGCTATTATGTGCAGCCATGAAAACATTAGGAAGTCGACATTTGCTGTCTTATGGAAAATAGAAGTGTTGAAGTTCCACCACCACTCTCAGAGCTGTGAAAACGAGGTGAGCATATCCCCTTAGTCAATTGAGTAGAAAACCACTGCTGATTTGGACTGTGTTATTCTGTTAATGAGGCACTCAAATGTGCAGTGTGTCCATACCCACCTGCTGCTCTTCATTTGTGCACGGAAGTCTAACTCTTGCATACGTGTTATATATCAGAGTTGTCCTCTGTTTACAGCGGTGAGTCGGCAGTGGAAAAAGTCGAGAAGAAACCCGTGAGACCTGGAGAGCTACCGGTGTGGAAAATATCAACTGACCAGCCATACTTGTAGACAATGCACGTGACGTACAATGCCACCCAGAATCATTCGTTTCAATGTTTTCGTTTTAAAAAGTGTCCAAGTATCGTACTAGAATGCAGTAAAAGTTTCTGGTGCCTACATTGGACAATGTGTTATAAAACGTGCTTGCTGTATAACATGCACATGTAATAAATCTATCCTGAACATATTCGTCTTTGTAATACATTTATAGTTATTTGTAGGCTTCATTGTGTGGGTGTGAACAATTTCATTTTTTTTCATAATAATAAATTCTCCGGCACACTTAAAGTTGCTGTTTACCAATTTGCAATATCCTCGGATGGCAAGATATTTCAAACAGTCAAACATGTTTTTCTGAAACTAATCGTCAACTTTCACACAGATAATATAAAACACATAAGTTAGGATAATTGCATTTTTTGTTTACTTACCCACAGAATAGGGGGGGGGGGGGTGTGAAGACATAGAATTTGTCATATGTTTTTATTGTTTGTTAAAGTAATCTGTTTGCAGTCACTTGAGCACAGAGTCACGTGTGAGGAGTAGATAATCAGCGCGCACGTAAAAATATATATTTTGTCTGAAAGCACGGTTAATCCTCGACCCGGTTAATCCACGACCCGGATAATCCACCCACGGATAATCGAGAGTTAAATGTACATGAAAAACAATGGATTAGATATTTCACTCGTAACAGTCATTACTAAAACTGGCAATATACAAGTTAAAATTTCTTTATTTGAATACAACTGGCAAGAATGAGGTTTTCAACTGACGCTGGGTTTCACATCAACAGTGGGGTTTTTTCGTATGGTGGCAATAATGGCCAAGTGTAGCATTTAAACACCTAATCTGCATACACATTTTAAACACTTGTATATAAAATACTTCTCAAAAGGGAACAATTACACAGAGGGCCACTTCCAGAAAACAGTCGCCACTATCCATGGCAATAACGTTTATGTACAGGAATGGCTACGGGATTAATTGGTAGCCTAAGGCACTTTAGTTATTAACATGGCAACACCTCACAGTGGCATATCTACAACTTCAAGACAAGGCCGTTAGCCGTAGTTTAATGATCATACCTAGTAATTACCATCTCGAATGTGGAAATGTTGCTGAAGGTTTGTTAAATATTAGGTCACTAAAAGCTGGCAGGACAGTACAATCGCATGCTCGTAAATAAATGATTACATACCATATATAGAAGGTTGCTTCAAGGTTTAAAATACAAGTAACCATGGTCAAGGGCCAGTAAAAATAACCCATTAACATTGAAAAAAACATGCTTGGGTAAGTTTCTGTACATGTTCAAATGCTTGAAATACATTTTCAAAGACGGTACCAACATTGCTTTTATGCGCCGACCTTCCACACTTTTAACTGTACAACAAAGATTTATAACCGTTACCGTGAATATACACTAAAATAAAAAATTACATTTTGGTTCAATAACGTAATGGAAATGTAATTTGTGGAGAAGCGTTGCTTGCGTGTTTGACATATGCGTTGAGTACCAGATGTGCATGAAATATCCAGCTTTAGCAGTTACCAATTTCAAGCCTGAACATTTACCAAAACAACAAATGACAACTAAGGGATTTAGAGGCATTGGACAGACTCCGTTTATTTACCCAGCCTTCAAAATGTCTTATACTTTTAGTGTTGTGAATAAAAGCGTATAGAATGTTAGTAAGTGTACAGTGCCCGACTGGCAGTTTTCCTAAACGTTAATCGTGAATCCCTGAGCCCAAAAAAGAATCACAGCTCATTCATTTGTACAGTGTGGCTTTGCGTGATGCTAATGCATTGAGTCAGGAAGAATGCCTCATTTAATGTAAGACACCGAGCCCTGCTAAGATTTGCAAAAATATATAACTTATCTGTTTTCGGCCATACCTTGACCAACCTACGGTGATTGATTTTTTTAAAACTAATCAAGAGGAATTCAATTCGTACTTGGAAACTTGAATCCTTTATGGAATACTATGCCCCACACCTCTGATTCGCACGGTTGGCTACGTACGGTGCGAAAGAAGTTCATACCTACTTACATTGCAGCCGAGTAAGGCACTGCAGTGTCGTTCAATTATTCGCCAAGTGAGGCTATAAAAAGAAAAGTAAATTGGGAAGAGGCACTTTTAAAACATTTCGCTTGAAATCCATGTGAACACTACCTGATTGTTGATTTAGTTGCCCTGTTACTCGGCAAAAGGTGGGTAATAGCTTAAAGACATCGGCACTCTTCCCTCAAATACACATTTGAGACACCTCTTGATTTTCCCGGCACGTGAAGCTTTTACAAAAAGTTTTGTCGCCGTGAGGACACTGCTGAACGAGTGGACGCGTGAGAAGGCGGACTTGCGTAATCTTGGTCTCGACGCCTCCCTGCCTATTGTTATGGAGGAAACTTAAGGGCACGTCTCGGGAGAGGCCTACTCCGCTTTTATCCTGTGAGTCGGGCTTTGGGGCATCTTACGACCCAGCACAGGAGTTCCCTGTAAAACAAAAAAACAATTCTGACATCAGCTTGGGGCAGTGTTCTTCATTGCAAGGTCCGCGGGCCGCTGGCGACACCTGGTGGCCTTTCGTGCGGCTCCTGACGTGTGGCCCGCGACAATACACAAAAAGTGATAACACCCCCATCATGCTGTCAAACTCCCACCGGTTTCAATCCTCTGGTGACCCTCACACTGATGTCTTATAAACGAAAGTTTCCCCCCCCCGCCCTCTGAAAATTAGTGCACCTGTTTAGGTAACACATTCCTGCAGAGGGAGCTGTTAGGAACGTTGGGTTGCTCGGTCAATGGCCAGGGTCAACGGCGGCGTGGTGTATTCCGCAAATATGGCCGACTGTGAGGGCGGGCACAAGCCGGCGTGAGTAGGTTAAACGTTGAGTTGTATAAGGGCACCACGGGGTGACCAGCCCCTCCCCACCCAGCCCCTCCCCACCCTCCTCACCCAGCCCCTCCCCACCCTCCCCACCCAGCCCCACCCCCCCCCCCCCCATTTTTGGATGCACGACGGACGAACAAAATAATCCCCTGTGGGCTGGTGGAACCAGGTGGTTCCTACCAGTTTAACACGATGATTTAGTCAGAGAGCATCTCACTCTCACTACCAGTGGCATTGCGTAATTGGCACTGGGCCCGGTTGCAAGTAATGAAATTTAACCCCCTAGTCCAATTTGGCCCCGCCTGCCTAGCCTGTGATCGGTCAGTGCAGTGGCACCGCCTGCACACTTGACAGCCTGCACAAAAGCTACGAATCGACCCGCGTGCCCCGTGAGGGCACCGGCGCGTCAGCCGCTTGTACTCACGGGCGAGGGTGGCTTCGCGTAGTTCACATGTGCGTAGAGCAGCACGGCTATGTCGTTGTGTCCAGCCTCGAGCGCTATCGACAGCGCTGTGCTTCCATCCTGAGCACAAACGCATCCCAGGTGAGTCCAGAGACAGGGGAAGAATTTGAGTAATAAACATGCTTCATAAACACACCGTACAATGAGGATGTAACGCCGGCACCACTCTTCGTAACAACATGCCATAGGATCTTTGACATCCACTGTGAAGCAGACGACACGTATTTCACGATGAGTTAACGTTCGCCCCCAAGTGAGCGGAGGAGGAGAGAGAGAGAGAGCCCCCCAAACGGCTGCGGCCTCGCGAGAGCCTCACATTGTCGGCGATGGCCGCGTTGCAGCCCGCCTGGCCGAGCAGCAGGCGGACGATGTCCACATGGCCGTGCTCGCTGGCGCACATGAGCGCCGTCGAGCCGTCGTCGTCCTGGACGTTGACGTCGGCACCGCACGCGAGCAGAGCGCGCACCATGTCCTTGCGGCCATGACTCACGGCCAGCATCAGCGCCGTCTGGCCCGCCTGCGGCACAATCACCGTCACGACGAACGTCATCATCATCAAACAGCCATGATCAATGCAATTGCGGAGCCTACAACGCAACGATCTATGCAGTTCTTACGCACGAGCCAATTTCACGCTTCACATTTTACTATTTACGATTGCTACTCTTTATTTTACCAGGTAAGGCCCACTGAGCAATATAGCTAATTTTTTTCAGAAGCGACCTGGCCACAAATGATAGCTCAACAAAGTGGCTTATGCGGAAATGTATAGCAGCCAAATAGTCTAAACCAGGGGTCGGCAACCAAAATAACAAGAAGAGCCATTTCTTTCCAATTCGGTACAAAATTCAGTATTTCAAGAGCCGCAATGCATCTATGTACATACGTACATATCGTCAAGAAGCAGCCCGTAAAGAGCCGCATGCGGCTCCGGAGCCGTAGGTTGCCGACCCCTGGTCTAAACGCATGTTTCTAACTGTGGAGGGAAAAGCCAGAGGACCCAGAAAAAAATGCACGTGACCACGGGGAGAGAACACGCACACTCCATATATACAGCAGGCATCTGGGTCGGGCTCAAATCCAAGTACTCCTGCATACCAGGGCGAGGTAGTTAACATATCGCCACCACGGCACCCCCGCAAACTAGCTCCCAGGGCACAAGGAGCGACGTGGTTGCGAACGTACCTGCCGAACGACAACGCGGCCACGCGGCCTGTGAACGAACACGCTGGCGGGATCGGGGGGGGGGGGGGCGCATGCACTCTCACCTGGCTGGCGCGAGCATTGACATCGCCCAGGCTCAGCAGCTTCTGCACGACGGCCATGTCGCGCTCCGAGTTGATGGCGGCGAGCGACGCCAGCATGATGGCCGTGTAGCCGGCCTTGTTCTGCGCGTCCACGTTGCACTCGCCTGGGCAAGGGGAGGCGCCAGTCAAAGTATTAGGAAGCTGTGCTCTTTTTAAATCCTTTATATTAAGTTCGCTTGCTTGCTTGCGTGCTTGCTTGCTTGCTTACGACCGTGCAAATCTTTCGGTCGTTTTTTAACCCACTTCCCTTGATCCAATCGAGCTGACATTTTCCACACAGACTCGTTGTGCCAGAAAAAAAAAAATTCCCAAAATTTTACACTTTCAGGCAAAACAAAATTATTTTACATTTATTCAAATAGAACTCATTCATGTCTTTGGCTGAACGTCACAGTATAGGAGCCCAAAGCGTAACCCCTCCACAGGCCGTGGCGGAGTAGCGCAGTTGGTAGCGCCCTCGCTTCCCATGCCAAAGGTCGCGGGATCGATCCCCGCGTCCTCCACAGGCGAATATATTTTTACATCCTTTATATTAAGTTCGCTGCCACGCATATAAAGGATTTATAGTGAAAAACTTTGTTTTTACGGGTTATACTTATTAAATCCTTTATATTAAGTTCACTTGCTTGCTTGCGCGCTTACGACCGTGCAAATCCTTCGGTCGTTTTTTAACCCACTTCCCGTGATCCAATCGAGCTGACATTTTGCACACAGACTCGTTGTGCGTGACAATTTATTTTCGTGAAAATTTTTTTCCATAACTTTACACTTTTTAGGATTTTTTTTATATTTAATTAATTACCAATTGCTTAAAGGTGGCAGGCAATCATCTGACCCATAGGTGGCAGCCATCTCAAGCCAGAGGACGAGAGGACTCTAGCCGCCACGCATATAAAGGATTTATAGTGAAAAACTTAGTTTTTACGGGTTAATTTTAGTTATTAAACCTGGATTGAGAACTCGTTCCTTTCGAGCTGCTTTTTTGTGTTCAGTTCGTCATCCTTGCTGTGTGCGAAAGAAATTCGACATACGTACAAGTAGCGTTATGCCCTCTCGTCGGTTATGCCCTCGCTAGTGCCGTTTGGTGGCGGCCCGATTGGCTTTTGTGACCGACTGGGCCTGTACCCAGCAACAGTGAGAAAGAGAAATAAAACTCGCCGACACTGCAAACCGAGAGGGGCGAGCCGTATGACACGCCGGCTCCATTTCCACAGTGTAGCTACGTTCATGGAGCGGTGGGGCAGTGGTTAGCACACTGCCCTACGAACCCGGACAGCTGAGGATGAATCCCGGCCACAGCTAACTTCTTAAGCACGCTGCATTCGTGCGATTGCAAAGCTGTCAACCCCACACGGTTTACCCGTATTCTTGTCCAGGAAAATTTCGTTTTCAGGTCCATACAGTGTACAGCCGTTTCAATGCGGGCAACATTTTTTTCGTCGATTTGTGTTTCTTCCTTGTGATGGTACTTTATAGTTGAACGTTGAGATTTATAAGGGCACGGGGTGACTGATAAGGTTTGAATTTGTCTGTAATAAGGTAGGGCACTGATAGGGGGTTGACAGCTCTGCGACTTGACCTGAAGCCTCGATAGGCTTCTTCCTTGCACCTCCAATTAGCACGGTTGATTACGTACGGTGCGCGAAAGAAGTTCAACATACACACGTCCACCACCCATTCACAGTTTAGATGAAGTGCAATAGCACACTCTGTCTGCCAGGTGGCGCCACTGCTCGTCGCGATGAGCACTTGCAAACATTTTGATGCCACGTGTTTTGACCCAACTCGAAGGTCACAGGTTAAGGTTGGCTCATCGTCTAATACCATCGGTCTCTCGGGTTCCTTCCAGTCGGAATGAGCCGTGGCTCTACTGCGTACGACAAAACACACTCAAGTAAGTCATGTGACCTACTCTGTGGACAATGTTTCCCGAACGTTTCAGGCTTTGCAAACCGTGTTTAACGTTAACATTCAAATTAAATAGGACCGATGTAAAAACCACAGCTGACTGCTATTAAACGTTAAACGAATTCCTTTTGAAACGCCGCGCGATTGTGGTGGCGAGCAACGGTGGGCTCATTGCATCGGCATTGAAACAAGAACCAACTGAAGCGAGACCCTGCAACCTACAGCGAGTCACCGCCGTGAATTCTCCAACCACTCTTCAGCCAATTCGCGTTGGAAAATAGGGGTCGCCTCGAAATAAGCAGAAGATAACGGCAACCGGGCCAACAGTTGGCAGCCACTCCCACAAGCCACCCCGTCGCCCCCCCCCCCCGCCCACCTGTGTCTAGCAGCATCTGCACGATGGCGAAGTTGGAGTGCGACACGCTGTAGTGCAGCGCCGTGTTGCCGTTGCCGTCGGCCATGTTGGCGACGAGGCGCAGCACGGGCGGGGAGAGGCGGCGCAGCTCGGCGAGGAGGCCGCCGACGAGCGTCGCCGCGCTCACCTTCTGGCTCGACACGCGGAACCACTCGTGCTGCAGCTCCGACATGCTGGCGCGCTGCACGCACGCACGCACGCGGAGACAAAGATCCCCCGTATAGCCTCGAGGGACATTTTTGTGGCAAGTGCTGTTATTCATAATAAAGGTTTTTGGCTTGTTGGAGCTGCAGCACGAGTGGTTGTTAGGAAGTAGCACCGACGAAGGCCGGCCGGCACCAGCTATCCCCCCCCCCCCAGTTGCGATTTTTAATAAAGCGCACCAGGTACTCATTTAAGGCTGAGTCGACCTAGGGGACGCCCAGAACCGGTTCAGATGATCGTCACCGGTGTTGGCCGTGAGCGGGAATCGAACTCGGGTTCGATGCACTGACCACGACATGACCGCTCCCCTCTCGCACAGACACGCGCGCACGTTCAATGCGGGGTGCATAAGCTCGCCGTTACGCATATAGCGGCTATACAGCAAGCGTCGCGGTGTCAAAATTGATGCGAGCATCGCTTGAGCAGATGACCAACTTATGAGGGCACAGGGTACACGCACTGCGTCGCGCACGTGAAAACCGACACATCAGTGTCAATGTGAACATAAACCAAGTAATGCACGAACAGAAATCATTATCTTAAATGAACCCTTTCCCGTTCAGATTCTGTTCGGAACGGAACCAGAAGAAAAAGTGAAATAAAATATTTTGGCTTAAGCTATCGTGGAGTGCGTTCGTGTTGCTGCGGTTCTCTGCGGTGAGTACGATGTCTTTAGAAACAACGGTGGCTCCTACGCCTTCCCAAATAAATTGAACGCTGAACCATTCGCGCGCGTTCCGAGATTCAGCGGCGAACGGGACACCCACCCTGCAACTTCCAGTCGTCTGGGTAGGGGAAAGGGTTAATAACAACATCACATCATAATGGAGGCTTTTGGGTTAGATCACGTAAATATAAATACCGCCACCACCCGACACAGACAATTAGTAAAAGGTTTGTCACGTATACAAAACATGGCAAAAATAATTACCATGTTTTGTTCAAAATAATTAACATGTTTTGTTCACGTGGCAAACCTCACTACGTCGTTATACAACATCACACACATTGCACTTTCACGAAAGAAGGCAAACTTCTACCCACCACTTCCTTGGTGTTGAGGGACTTGTGATCCTCCAGGTGAGCCTTGAGCGTGGAGCAGGCCGTGTGCATGCTCTCGCTCATCTCGTACCTGCAATGACACAGGTGAGTTCGTGGTGAGCCCTGGGGCTGGGCCACCCCGACTACTACGAGGCTTACTGGGAAGACACAAGCTTCTCTCCGACACACTACGGACATCGTCATCAATCCACTGCTGGATGAAAGCCTCCCTCCTCCCAAGTCGTCGCCATCACTCGTTTGTCCTGCCATGCAGTAATCTACTGCAGGCATGGAGCGGGATATGTGGATATAGATAGAGATAGGATGATTAAAAACCAGGTGAAAGTCAATTCCGTACCAACAGAAGGGATATTATCAAAGAGCAGTGGAGATACCAGCTGTTGCTCGAGCACAAAAGCCAAGATGGACCTACGTGGGCCATCTGCTCTGCGTGGAAAATGACAGAATTCCCAAACAGACTTTCAAGTGGTTCACCTTTACTGCAGCCTGCACCCCCCTTTGGTTCTTAGAAAGAATTACAATGAAAGAAAAAGGACATCGGAGCATCAAAAATAAAAAGTCAGAAATCTGCAAGGTTCAGGACCCACGCTCTCAGTGCCTTTCCTAGCCTGGCCACCAGGGGGTGCAATGTGAACTCGAGTGGCGGTCGCAATTACGTGCTGCTCAGAAATAACTACTTGGCTGCTATGAATTCCCACGCGACAAGCCACGTGGTTGAGCCGTCATTTGCGATATATAGCTCAATGAGTCTTACTTGGTAAAATAAAAATAGTTCAGGATAGTCAGGTTTCTACCGTGGCAATCTAAAGTGAGGTACATTTTTATTGTCCCAGTAATAAATCCCCGACAGCCCACAGGAACCGTCCCTCTCTCTCGTCATTGGCTCTGTCACTAGCGCAGCGCAGGGCTTGGCCGACTTTTCGACTCACCTCTCCGTCGGAGCCTCTTGCTCCTCCTGCTTGGCTTCAGCCACCGGCTCTTCCCTTCCGACCTCCTGCGCGTCTCCGTCTTGCCGCTCCGCCTCGCTCCTCCCCGCCGCTCCGCCATTGGGCTGCATGTGGATGACTTCCCCGAGCCCCTCGTCGTCCTCCTCCTCTTCTTCCTCCTCCTCGTCATCGTCATCGTCCTCGTCCTCCGATCCAGAGGATGAGCTCTCGGAGCTCGACTCTTCGCTCGACGTCGTCTCGTACCTGAGCCGACGAGCGGTCACATCGGCGGCAGCCGCTTGGTGTCAGCGCGGACAAAGCGGTTCGCCCATTTTTGTTTTACCAAATCGTTTTTTTTTTTACCAAATATATTCGGGTTGAGCGACCGACATCGTCCCGTGAGATGAAAGACGCGACATTGAACGCTCTGCGGCACGCAGTGCACATCACCCCCCCCCCCCCCCCCCGTGCCAAAGAACGGTCCCAAAGGATCACGTCCTGGAACCAATTTCCGAGGCCACTTCGGTAGACCTCGTCCCGCGTGCTAGGGGAGCCCGCTTATTAATACCCCCTCCTGCGATGATTTTTCTAACTTTCTGAATAAAATGTCGATTTCAATACAAATCATGCCGCACGCCAAAGGGGGTGGGGAGAAGTGCGTCCGAATGCGCTGTGAGCGATCGTGCGTGCGAGTGGTGCCGCTTGCCGTACAACAAAAAATATCTCCCATCAACTTGCTACAATTGGAACTCCAGTTTCACCACAAGCGGCTGAATCCCAGATCCGAACTCCACGCGGGAGGTCATCGCTGACCCCTGCGCCACCCGGCCCACTTCAAGTTGTACTCAACTTTTTTAAACAACCCTGAAGAGGTGCACCGCTTGGAATTACACCGAGCGTGGAGGGGAAGAGGAACACGTGGATCACGTCGCTGCCGGGCATGTGCAGTGGTAGAGGCTGACGACGGAGTGGCAGCCAAAGGAGCAGAGACGCCCGCGGAGAAATCCACCGCAGACGAGGAGCGGCTGACATCACATACCTGTCAACTCCTTATCAGTGCCTACCTTGTTACAGACAAATTCAGACCTTATTGTTCACCCCGTGCCCTTATAAATCTCAACGTTCATCCTACAAAGCCCGTTCTGTAACGGCCGTGCGCCGTATGGACCTGAAAACTCAATTTCCCTGTACAAGAATACCGTATGAGTTGACCGGTATGACATCAGCTCGCGTGCCGGGCGCTAGATGGTTCTTTGCGAGACCATGAGAAGATGGGGACGGCTTTGAAAGGCCTTCAGCCATGGATAGATAGATCCATGGCTGAAGTTGATGATAATAATGAAGACGGAGAGATGACAATGACGGAGAGATGATAATGACGGAGAGATGACAATGACGGAGAGACGTTAGTAACGACGCTGGGCAGTGTCCCCTCACCCGCCGTTGACACCCACGAACTGGAGGCTCTTCTTGGTGCCACTGCTGGGATCGCCGCCAGCGGAGCCGGCGCCGTCCTTCTTCTTCATGATGGACTTGAGCGTGGGTGACACGGACGAAGATCCCGCGTCTGCAGGGGACGCGAGCGCATGGTGAGCGCACGGCACGCGGCACCACTCGCACGAACGCACGCACGCACGCACGCAAGCACGATCGCTCACAGCGCATTCTGGCGCACTTCTCCCTACCCCCTTTGGCGTGCTGCAATATTTGTATCGATATCGACATTTTATTCAGCAAGTTAGAAAAACCATCGCAGGGCACGTGGCCAGGAGGGACGGGTGGCCGTTAGTCGAGGCTAACGGCGGAGCGGAAGCCAGAGGAGGGAAGTACGTCCACCGTGGAGATGGAGCGACGAGATGAGCTCGTGTGCAGGAGCGACACGGATTGTTGCATGGCAGGACCATGAGAGGTGGCGTCGGCTTGGGGAGGCCTTCGTCCAGCAGTGGATAGATCATGGCTGATGAAGATTAATGATCACGAGCATCTCAAGATGCTGCACTAAGAGTAGGGCATGCGGTGTTGCAGGAAACCGCTAATAAAACATGGAGATGAACCCATTTTTATATTCAAGGGGTCGGTCATTGGCAGAAGTCTACAACGGAATTGGCCCGGGCAGTCAAAAGCATATGGATGGCTGGAGGGAGGGACACATAGTGCAGCAAGCGAGCCCGTATTAACCCTTTCCCGTTCCAAGACGTCTGCAAGTTGCAGGGTGGGTGTCCCGTTCACCGCTCAATCTCGGAACGCGCAAGCGATTAGCGTTAATTTTATAAAGAGAGCCATAGCGCCTTTGTTTTTAAAGACATTGTAATCACCGCAGAGAACTGTAGCGACACGACCAAACTCTACGGCAGCTGGCGCCAAAAACTGTGCCAGACGTCCTTCTGATGTCGTACACATACATCATCGGAAGAGAAACTGATGACGTCCACGTACGTCATTTGGAACGGGAAACGGTTAAGGGCAGCACGGCACACGATGGGTGGGTGTGTGAACGGTGGAGCATTGTGACGTACCCGACACGGAAGCAACCTGCACCGGCGACAGAAAGTGTGCGTTGACGTGACCCGTGCCCCGCTGCTCCGCTTCCGCCTCCGCTACCGGTGGGGCCGCCTGCCCTTCCGTCTCGAACACGTCATCGCTGGCCGACTCGGAGGGCCCCCGGCGGATCGTGTCGGTGGGGTCCGCTATCTCACCCTCAGCTGCGTCTATAAGCGGGTGCACAATGAGACGGACGCGCGGGGTCACACATTTAAAATATAGTAATTCATCTTCTTGGTTCTTTCGGTAAAGTCACGTAGAATGGAAATAATAAAATAATAAAAATAAAACATAATAAAATAATTCTCACGACGTTTCGGCCACAATGCAAGCAGCCGTCCTCTGGTGAAGACCAGGTCTGTCGGGGAGACAGCGTCTGAGGACGGCTGCTTGCGTTGTGGCCGAAACCTCGTGAGAATTATTTTATTATGTTTCATTTTTATTATTTTATTATTTCCCTTCTACGTGACTTTACCGAAAGAACCAAGAAGACGAATCCCTACAGTCACGAAAGCTTTAAATCGAAATATAGTAATTCATTTAACGGTTACTTTTTTTCCATTCATACACCAGGCGGTAGGAGGGAGCTCATCGAGGCTGACCGTGCCACCTTCAGGGAAGATCTGGATGATCATCTAGCCACGGTGGCGAGATGTAAACTAACTCACCTTGTACACAGGTCGTGGGTTCGATCCTGACCCTGACGATGTCTGTATATTTGGAGTGTGTATGTTCTCCCAGTGGTCACGTTGGATGTTTCTCTGGGTCCACCGGTTTTTCCCTTGACATTTAGAATTAACACGGGTTTAGAGCATTTGGCTGCTGTACATTTCCACACGATAGGCCACTACGTTGAGCCATCAATTGTGGCCAGGTCGCTTCTGAAACAGAGCTATGCAGCTCAGTGGTAAAATAAAAAAATATTTTAAGGTTCATAGTTTATAGTTTTAGTTTACTCGGCAATGATGTTAGCCATCACAAGGAATCAAGCTCAGAGAGGGAGGTTAGTCCACCAACCAATGCACCACTGCTCCACGGCAGTTCACGATACACAAGAGTGATGTGGCAACATTAGTAGTAGTAGAGACAACCCAAGAAAGTAACCACACATGGGCACAGGGGGCACAGAGGGCCCACATGGGCTATGCAGAGGTCAGCGGGGGATGCGAGTGGGCGGCCCATACCCGGGGCGACGGGCCGCATTGCGGCCTGCGTTGCGGCCTGCATTGCGGACGGTGTTGCGGCCTGCGTTGCGGCCTGCGTTGCGGGCGGCGTCGGGGCGGGCCGCTGCAGCGAGGAGAGTGCGGTGACGGTCGTGAGCAGGCGCGAGCTCAGCGAGCCCAGCTCCGTGGCCGGCTCGGCGAAGGCGTCCGCCAGCTCGGCGTAGTTGTCGGTGAGCAGCGCCTGCTGCTCGTGCAGGAGACGCTGCACGCGCTCGATGTAGCGCGATAGCTCCGCGCCCCTCGCGACCTCCGACCCTGCGCGCGCCCCCGCGGAATCACATGCCGCGCCTTCAGCCGCGACAGAAATCGTCTCCGTCCCTGATTCGAGACCCAGCTTGAGACAAGTATAACCCGTAAAAACAAAGTTTTTCACTATAAATCCTTTATATGCGTGGCGGCTAGAGTCCTCTCGTCCTCTGGCTTGAGATGACTGCCACCTATGGGTCAGATGATTGCATGGCAGCATTAAGCAATTGGTAATTAAATATAATATTTTTGTCCTAAAAAGTGTACAATTTTGGAAAAAAAATTTCACGAACATTAATTGTCACGCACAACGAGTCTGTGTGGAAAATGTCAGCTCGATTGGATCACGGGAAGTGAGTTAAAAAACGACCGAAAGATTTGCACGGTCCTAAGCAAGCAAGCGAACTTAATATAAAGGATTTAACAAGTAAACCCGTAAAAACAAAGTTTTTCACTCTAAATCCTTTATGTGCGTGGCGGCTAGAGTTCTCTCGTCCTCTGGCTTGAGATGGCTGCAATCTATGGGTCAGATGATTGCATTGCACCATTAAGCAATTGGTAATTAAATATTTAATTTGTTTTCCCTAAACAGTGTAAAATTTTGGAAAAAAAATTTCACGAAAATTAATTGTCACACACAACGAGTCTGTGTGGAAAATGTCAGCTCGATTGGATCACGGGAAGTGGGTTAAAAAACGACCAAAAGATTTGCACGGTCCTAAGCAAGCAAGCAAGCACGTTAACTTAATATAAAGGATTTTAAAAAAGGAAAGCTCTCGGGAGCGCCGAATCTCATTTTGAGTCGCAGTCTGCGTGAACCTACCTTCGTTTCCCTCCGCCTCGTTCTCCAGCTCCTCCGTGTCGCAGGAAACGCTCCTCACCTCCGCGCCGACCAAAAAGTTCTCGGAGAAATCGACGGAGCCGACGGCGGCCTCCCTGCGGCTCAGCCGGATCGCGGCACCGACGCCGGTCGTGTTCACGCCCACCGAGCGGCGGGTGTCCTCGTAGCGCTCGCAATTCCCCACAGACACCGTCCTGACCTCCACGGCCACCGTGCCACTCTGGGCATCGCGGCAGGAGACGGCGGTGGAGGTGGACGCCTCCGCCAGGCACGGCGCGGTGGTGCCCACGCATCGGTCGCTCCTCTCCGGGTGCTCGTTGCCCGCTCCCCGGCTCTCCGTGCTCGGGGAGGCCATCGTCACGGCGTCCGTCTTGCCGACGGCGTCCGTCATCGTCCCGCGCGACGCGTGCTCCCCCAGCGGCACAACAAGCACGTCCACTGAGCACTCCCCGCAGGCAACGCTCCTCAGCTCCACCCTCAACGCTCGCTCGCTCTCCGCCGCGGCCTCTGCCGCCGCCGCTGCAGCCGCCGCTGCAGCCGCTGCTGCTGCCGCGCTGGACTCGGCTCCATCGCCGCCACCTTCAATGTCTTCCGTTTGGCACGACACAGATTGGCGCGACGCAGCAGCCTCCGCCCTCACCGGCTCTGTCCGCGGTCCGGCGGCCGTGCCCGCGGTCTGGGCCGCGAGGACTCGGACGTTTCGCTCAGCCGCGCTCTTCCCGGGACCGCCCGACAGCTCGAGCTTGATGCGCGTCATGTCCAGCTCGTGCGTCGTCTCCCGCAGCTGCTTCTCCAGAACGAGGACCTTCTCCCGAAGCCCGCGGACCGCCTCCTGTTGGGACTCGAGCTCCCAAGCGGACGGGGAGGCCCCTCCGGGCAGCTGCCCCTCGGTGACCCCGACCCCTACGCTTCGCACCAAGACCTTCGAGCGAGCGCTCCACGGAGAATGCGGCGACGTCAGCTGCGGACTCCCGTTGACTCGCGACGACCTGGCGGACGCCTCGCCGCACACCTCGCCGCCGTCGCAGCGAGGATCGGGGAATTCGCCCTCGCTCGGAAAATCCGCCTGCAGTTCCCGCGTCGGCTCCGCCACTCCCTGAGCGTCCGCGGCGAACTGCGTCGCGTCGTACTGCGTCGAGGTCACGAAGTTCACGGTGCAATCTTGTCTCCTCTCCGCCAGATTCTCGAGCGTCTCGTAGCGGCCGCGCGACGCCCCGCCGGGCTCCCCGCGGTCGCCCGCCCGCTCGCCGGCTCCGCGGATCAGCAGCCCCCTCTCCGCGCGGAGCCGCTCGATCTCGTCGCGCAGGCTCGGGATGACCTTCACCTGGTCCTCGAGCACCCGCATCCTGCGCAGCGCCAGCACCATCTGCTCGCGGATCGTCTGCAGGTGCGCCTGGTTGAGGCCGCTCAGCGATGGCGTGGACGTGCCAGAGGGGCTGAGCGACGCGCTGCCGTCGCCGTGAGCCGAGAGGCCGTTCGCCAGCGAGGACGCCTGGCTCCGCGACCTCACCTCGGTCGCCGACGACTCGGAGCTCACCGAGCCCGTGGAGCGGTCCATGTACAGCTGCTCCGGCTGAGGCTCCTCCTGCTCGTGTTTGGTGAAGTCAGAGGGCTCAGGCCGAGAGTCCGATTCTCCCGAAACCTTCGAGGCTTGTCGATGGTCCTCATCCTGCCGCTGCTGAGCAGGCGGAGCAACGGTCGTCATCATGTGGCTGCAAAACGTGACCGTCTGCTCCTCCTGGCTGCGAATGATCCTCTGTTCGCGCTCCAGCCTCAGCTTCGTCTCTATGAGCGTCTTCTCCACGCGCAGGTCCCGCCCGGACAGCGACCGCGGGGACAGCGCGGGTGGGTCCGGCAGCCCGGTCGTCGCCATCGTCGTCGTCATCGTCGTCACCATCGTCGTCGCCATCGTCGTCGCCATTGTCGTCGCCATCGTCGTCACCATCGTCTCGGCGGCCCGAGCCGGAACGGGAGAGGCGAGCCGCGGGCATCCCGGGGAGCTCTCGGGAGCGCAGTCGCCCACCTCGGCGTCCGCGGTGCCCCGTTTGGGCAAGCTCCCCGCTCGCAGCGACAGGCGGCTCTCCTCGCTCGTCGACGAGGAGAGAGACTCGGAGGAGGTCCACGCCTCGCCCGGCGTGCCCCAGCTCCGGAGCGACGCGCTGCTGGCGTTCCTCAGCACCTTGGCGCCCTTTTTCTGGATGGAGATCTTCCTGATGGTGTTGCCCTTCTCGATGTCGTCGACGTACTTGAGGAAGTCGAGGTCCAGCTGGAACCCGTAGGGGGTCTCCACGAAGTAACCGCCGCTCTGCTCCTCCGCCTCCTCCTCCTCGTTCTCGTTGGTGGGAAGGGTCGCCCCGCCCTCTAAAACATCACCACCACCAACAACAACATCATCAACATCATTATCATCGTCGTCGTCGTCAACATCGTCACTGTCATCATCATCATCACAACCGTGATCATCTTTGCCATCTCAATCACTTTCATCGTCGTCGTCATCATCGTTGCCATAATAACAGATCAGAATCGGAATCTTTGTTTCGACCAGAGGAGGAATCTGATGATCTACGAAGCTCTTGTTTTCACTGACGTCCAAGTAGGAGCGGGCCGGCGAGTTACAGCAGCAAACAATACAAAAAAGCAGAGAAAATGGTTGTAAAGTCACTAAACATGAATAATTAATGCATGCCCTCATTGTACAAGACTGATTTATCAAGTTTGGGCGAGGCAGCAGCAACAACAACAACAACAGTCCCAGACCACACCACGACAACACCACACAGGAGCAGTCCCTCAATAGAATGGCACATGAACATTGAACTCTCAACACACGGTGGAGGACCCTCTTGAATCAGGGTCCGAATATAACAGCCGGCATCACGACCGGTATAATGATCATTATTATCATCACCTGTGACCAAATCGCACGGAATGCGCCCAAAGTTCATCGGATCTCGGAGCCTCAGCAAGGCCTGGAGCGACATCTGCCGTAATGCACTCTTGCTCCCACGTCTTTACGAACCCACACGGACCAGCGTAGTAGTGAAGTAAGGTCAAACAATCCCCACCACCTAGCACTGCATGAGTCCCACCATTCCAGCAGCAGTGGATTAATGAAAGGGCTGTACGCTTTCTCCAACCCCACCATCGTGCGGCTTTTACACCTTTACTCATACACACACACATACAACGTGTACTTTTACTCATAATACGATCAACGGAGCAACTACTGAGCAAGCATCCACGTTTATTCGTTTCCCCAGAAAAAAAATCTCCCCGAAGCTCTCGAACGAATATCAGGACTTAACATCGGACTGTAAAACGTGGCCGTTCCTCCATACGACATCAACAAACATCCTGACCGTCGTCGCAACGGCGGCGACGTGCTGTGCAGCCCCGCAGTTTCACACCTCCCTGCCCAATGCCAGGTAGGGCCCCCTCTTGCGTTGTGTCGCGCGGCAACGCCGCTCCTGTGCTCACCCGGGAGGTCGTGGTTCATCGGCGGCGCCTGAGCCATCGCGGGCGGCGCAGGGACGGGGGGTGGGGGGATAGGGGGGGGTAGGGGGGGGATGGGGGGGTGAGGGGGAGTCGCGGTCGCCCTGGGCCGGAGCCTCGCGTTCGTCCACGGCGGAGGAGCGTCAGTCACCTCGTCGCTCGCTCACAGCCAAACGGGAGACCTGGGGGTGGGGACGTGAGACACGGTGAATTATGCGAAGCCGGTCTTAAGTTTGTTGTCCTTCCCCCGCACAGCTCCAATTAGCACGGTTGGCTACGTATGGTGCGAAAGAAGTTCAACATAGACATATAGCCAGAGCGGAACGTTGTCCACCCTCTACTTAAAATATATACAGCATTAAATATGTTTGACACGTAGGCTTTCGCGACCAATATATTGCGCATGGGGGAGCATGGGGACACAACACATCACGAGGACGGATAATGCCCGACGGACGAGTCTGTAGATGGAATGGCAGTCACAGGTGTCCAAGAAGACAACTGCCACTTCTATGGGTGGTTATACGCCTCGTGCGCACACACACACATATACACACTACTACATACACACGCACACCAACAGCGGAAATGTTTGCCACATTCGTTAACAGATCAGCAGACGTTTGTTCAGTTACGTTCGTGTGAATAATATCGTGGAGATGTCACGAGCGGCAGTCAGCTTCGATCGCAGCCGTAGACAACACGAGGGCCACTGTCCACCTTCGTTGAAAACATCGTCGGCATCATATGCAAGTAAAAAAGAAAAATACAAATTTTGCCGAGGTGCGCCGCCCCGCAACGCACGCGTTTACCTGTGGTGGAGACACACCTGGAAAACACGCAGGTGCCACGGGACGGCCGGCGAACTAAAACTGCCCCTGGGGGTTGAGCGACACGACCCCCCAGCGTGGCATGCATCACGCGCCCCGTACAGATTGGCAGGGATTATTATTATTCGCATCCGCGAGCGAGAGAGGGGGGGGGGAGGGTAGGCGCAAGCCCTGCACGCAGCCCTAACACAACACACTTCCCTTTTGTGGTGAAGCTTCAGAGTAAACGCAACTGTAGCGCAGGTAACAAACAGCGACGCTCCGTTGAGCAGCCCGACACGACGCCCTTCACTTTCTCCGTTGTCCACGCGTCGTCACCGGCGCACGGCCAAACACCGCGCGGACGAACTCGAAAACGCGAGGGCGGCATAACGCGGCGGACATTACTACGCAGCAGGGCGCGTGCGAAAGTGCGTCGGCTCCAATTGGTGTACGGATTGTAAAAGGTCACTTAAAGCAATCTTATATTATTACGTAGCTTTTTTTTTTTTTTACAACCCAAGAGAGCCTCACTCTAGACTTTTTCAAGAAGATCCCCCCCCAAGTTTCGGCAGTAGGGGAGCGATATTGCTGCGCGTAATCCCAATTGAGGCAATGGGCCGTGGAGATTTTAGACTTTGGGAAGTCTGGCCAACATTGTATGCTATGGGAGGGAGTCCAATAACCAACGCATAAAACAGGGGGAGTACATACACGCTCCACGCTTCTTGCTGCGAGGCACGAGCACAACCACTGCGCCACCACCCTGCCTGCCGCCCCAAAGCAGTTGCGCGACATCTGCGTCCGCAGCTCATCTTACAGGACGGGAAGATGCGCCGCTTCGAGAGCGTTTTCCGACGGGCACTTGATCTCACAGCTTGACGCCAATAGGGCGACGGAGCTAAAGGGCTATGATGTACCCAGGAGATCTCACCTCCTCACGTGCATAGTGGGTATCCTCCGGGTACCCTCCAGGTAACCTCACCCCACCCCCCAGCGTCTTAAGACTCGGCGAGGCTTTCCCACGAAAATAATTGCCATCATTACTGCCAAACAATCGGGCGTTCATATTTTGTTTGCATTTTTACGAATCATAAATTCTCGCCGCCGCTGTCAGTGCCGAGACAAACCCTGAACTGTGTCAAGCCCACAAATGCCGACGGCGTGCAGCGACAAGTCGGCAGGAATGCTCCCCCCCCCCCGTGCCAGCGGGAGGCCGGCCCACAAACAGCGGCGCTGGCGAGGGCAGCACGCAAATTTGGGGGTGGGGGCGGGGGGGGGGCTCGCGGGTGTCGAGCCGCCAAAGCGCAAGCAACAGGGCACCGAAGTCACCAAAGCGCAACGCGTTCGCCGATAAGACGGTCCACGCTTGCAGCAGAGGCTTTTGGCTGACCATCGAACAACGAATGTGGTCACTGCATCGCAGCACGCTTGCAGATGCGCTCCGGCGGCCGTCTGGATCACTCTTCCTTCCGATTGACAAACTAATTTCTTGACAACTGCTTTTCATGTTTAGTTTGTTGTCCTTCCCCCAGCACCTCCGATTAGCACGGTTGGCTACGTACGATACGAACATACATTGTCGCACGTTATGGGCCGAAGCCCTTCTTAATTCCACGGAGATGGACCCACCAGAACTTTGAGTGAATTATAATAGACTGCAATATGCACACCATGGGGCCCTGATAATTTTTTTTTGTACATTTCTAAATGAATAGATACATATATGTGGATAGTCACCCATTCGTAGACAGCAGCAACAGACAAATTGTTAAAAAGTCAAAAAGATCCGCTTAAACTCGATTTTTTTTAGTAAAATTGGGAAAAGAAGAGGGGACGATTCCTCATCGGCCCTGCTATGCAGAAGGGCTGTTGCCCGAAATGTCACCGAACTATATATTCATGATCCTAGTCTTAGGGGCAGTGTTATTATATTCATGATCCTAGTCTTAGGGGCAGTGTTATTGACAAATGTGTCGAGTTACAGTACATCTGAGCAATGGGAGAAAGAAGAAAGAGTTGCTTCAGAGCACAAAGAGAGAGAGAGAGGAGGTTTGTGCAGGGGAGCTTAACGCACGACAGCAAACCAATTTGCTGCATGCCAGACCACAATAACGTGGTACAAATGGGTCTCAGCTCCACCTGGCCCCAGCCTACAAGGCAGGCCAAAGCGGCATTCGAGCGGGCTCAATTGAACCTGACATTTTGGCTCCCTCGCCGCATTCAAATCGGGATCTGTGTTCGATGCATCACGTTACTCTTCAGATTTCATTTTATGTTCCACTAATTAGAACGATCGTGCCATTTCGTTTCACCGTTAAAGCACCGTGGACTCTCGCAACTTTCTCAGAAGGGCACGAGGGGGGGGGGGGGGGCATTGAGATGTCTGGCCAATTCCACTCGTGGGTTTTTGGCAAATGGCAGGAACCCGGAGAAGGCAGGCAACAGGCCACTCGCAGGAGGGGGTGACGCTCGATAGTGCCATACGCTGGCCACAACGCAACCCCACGCTCGCAACAGCCGGCACGTCATCGTCGTGGTCACCCATCCAATCTCTATCCAGGCTCAACCCCGCTCAGCTTTCAAGATATGTTGAGACTGGGCACAATCTCGGGGGTTTTCCTGTCCGTAGGCAAAATTAAACGGAGCTCGGTTTGCTACATTAAGGGTCGTGCGTCGTGAAAGCCACGTCGTACGGCAGCAGAGATCAGTACCCCTGATCCACATTGACACGAGGAAGACTTTTAAATCACAAGGGCACTTGCCCAATTAGAAGTAAAGTATGTCTACACAGCAGACATCACAATTCCTGGTCACAATTTAAAATGAAAAAACATTATTTGCGGTGATTTTATTAGCCTGTGGTAGCCGGAGGGGTTACCTCACCCCATTACACACGAAATATTAAAATCAATAAACATTGCTTATTACGTGCATAATTAGATCCGTGTATGGCGAGCACGACAATTGATGTTAGACAATGCATGTATGCATCAATACACCCCGTCCACTAAAACAATACAAGAGAAAGAAAGGTGGCAGTTTTGTCCCTACTAGAATTTCGGCCGTTGCCCCCCCCCCTCCCCCCAATGTGTGCAGATACTACCGACTCAATTGTATGTAGGGCGTGTAGGTTTATATGCCTACAAAATGCATCTTTTTTTGTGGAGGAGGGGAGGGGTTTGACAATTTTTAAAAACCTGTTGGATCAACTTTTTACCCCCACAACTTTTTCACTCATGCCTTAATTTAGTTGCCGGACAAACGGAAAAAAACTGAACGCCGTGCTTTTATAATAGAAAAGATTGTGTAGTACGGACTCAATCGGAGTAGTCATGCAAAAAAATAAAATTCCCCCACAGAATATTTCCCCGCACCCCCCACCAGCCGGAAGACTAAATAAAAATTTACGGGGTTATGGCTCCATTCCACCACGAAGATTCTCATCCGAACGGCGATTAGCGGTGCGTAATTACACGCGGATGGCGGTGGAGTGCACACACCACAGCCGCGCGCGCAAACCTCGCCGCTGCCTTGGGGTGGAACGTGATTAACGAGCCTCCAAGCCGCCGCGTGCGCACGCGTTCTGGAACCAGAGCTTAATTGGGGCGGGACGCGGCGGTGTCACTCGCACTTCACAGCAAGAAGGCCTGGGTTCGATTCCCGACTCGGGCCACCTTTCTGTGTGAAGCTTGTATGTTCGTCCCCCCATTCCGCACGGATTTCCTCTGGGTTCTTCGGTTTCCTCCCACAGCTATGAAGCAAAACGTAAGAAGATGTAACTGCCATTGGCCAAAACATCCCAAACGCTGATAAATCAATTGCAAGGAACTCAACTGGGATTATACATAGTAGCATTGCCCCCTTATTGCAATAAGAGTCCAGAAATGGCTTACATAGGCTGACATTAAATAGACATAAAAGACCCATAGACTAACAGAGACCGATGCAATTATGGACATTTGCATAGACAGTCACTGCCTTAACAAAGATACCCTTAGGATTACATAGAGACCCAGAGACTTAAATAGATTTACAGACTCATATACTTGTATAGAGACCCAACGAGAGATATATATATATGACCTTTATTTTTGTCCAATATGAGCCAATTGAGACCTGGAACCTCTGATTAAATAGAGAACTGTGTTTATACAAAACCTGCTGGCCCATTGGAGTTTATATTTAAGCCGAGCCGAGTGAAATGGCTCAACGCAGGGGGGCAAGGGGGTGGGGGCAGG